CTTTTATTTACACAGATGAACTCCTGTTCCAAAAATGCCTGAGAGACAGAACCCATGGGGACAAAGCTTTTTGTTAGCAGCATATCCCCTCCCATACGGTATAACCCCTCCTATATTCCTCAGACCAATCAGCAAACAGTATATTCAGGATCACCTTATATGGGCAGACCGATTGGTTCATCTGAGACAAAGGAATGTGCTCTCCACTTCCGCACATGCTCAGTACACTGATGACTCATCCAACTGTTTGTAATCAGATACTAATTAGCATATGGCATGTCGACATTTCGGCCTACTAAATTTTGACCATACTGGAATCCCATCACAAAACCATTCATGGATGCTGTCCTGAGACAAAAATAAAAAAATTAACAGCTCCAGTACGCAAAATATGTTTCTTTCTTCTTTTTTTTTTATTTTCTTTTAATTCTTAGGAGTAGTAGTAGTATCTCTCTGCACATATTTTCCTCATTCAACATGCATGTGCATCCATAGTGTAATTCAGGGCTTTGAAGGCGAAATTAAGTAGATACTTGTCAAACTATATAGTTGCAAAGAGACTGGCAACCACAAGATATTTGGAAAATGAAAAGAAGTCCTTTGTATGAATTATTATATATGTCACTTTATTTTTTATTATTTGATAGAGTGGAAGCAAAAACAGAGAACAGGCAAAGGTTTACAGAAACTCAATAGCTTGCCCTTCGGTAAATCCAGATCTGAAATGCCAGCAAGATCCCTCTGCACGATAGATACAGCAAAATTATGTATTGTTTCAACTTTCCTCGGGCCACGTCAGTGAGGTGTAGCCACTCTAGGCACAGTAAGCACAGAATCCATGTCTGGATAGAGGGAGGGCTCTAGTCTCGAATGTGGGGCTCTGTAGCCTCGTATATTTTTTTGTCCTCTCTGCAGGGCCAACAACACTACCTTACAATGCATCTTGCCAGTCCATGTAGAGGGGTGGCTTTACAGTATGTCCTGGTGCCTGTACTATGAATGACCTGCATTATTGTGTATTAACAAACCCTGATATCTACTCTTGGCATGGAGAGCTAATATCCGGCATAAATAAACGATGTGGAAATGAGAGATACATCTGTTTACCCAGCTGTAAAATAACTGTAACTTCTAATCAACCACAGAAGGTTTTTGGACAGAACACTATGATAAAGCAGCTGAAGGACATAACACAAAACACACATAGTGAAATGATAATAATATTGTGTTATGTTGGCCACAATTCTTCAATGCCACGGTTTCATGTCTGGCTAGGATATACAGGCGTGAATTTTTGCAACTGGAAGTCAATGTACGAGCTAGATAGTGAATGCTTAACGTTTGTTACTGGTATTGTAAGCCCCATATTGCAGTAGGATTGGATGTTTATGTGTAATGAGTTATCATAAATCTCTGACTTGGAACTTTGGTGAAAATTTCAAAGGGGGCCTGATCAATGGTTGGATGTACTACTTCAGTGGTTGTTTCATAAATTTTGTAATTTTCTCTATATTTGCTACCACAAATTCAGCACAAGTAAATATGTTTCCAACATGTTTTGTAACATTACTACACTTGTTTTAGAGCTGCACAAAAATTGGTCCCCATTGGCGCTCAATTCGTAACCTTATCATAAATGTAACAGGTCACTCACTACAGTGGGTACCATGGTAATTCCAATTAGTTATGCTACCACTATCCATATTAAGGGCCACCAGACACTTAATAACGCACATGCTATTAGCTACAAAAAACAATCTTGTGAGATATCGAAAGTCTACAGACCCTCCTCCAATCCAAACCATTCTTGCTGCTCTACAAATCACAAGAAACCATGAGGAGATGTCACACGGGTTCCTACCACAAATTCCAATAGATTCTTCCACCCTTCCCCTCTCTCATGTGTGTCCTCCTTCATTTGTTTTTTTATTCCCTGTTGACTATGGCAACGTCCATGGCAACTATGTTGGGGACCGGGGAGCATTACCGCTCATTATATTTGCTTTATTTTATGTATATGGTTTTGCACAAATGTTCATGAGCTGGCTGACTGTGCTGGCTGTTTCTACATGTTCCCATGTGTGTACAACTTTTCTAAGAGTTTTACTGAAGTCTCTTAATAGAAAACTTTTAATAAACAGTATACCCTTAAAAAAAAAAATATGCCTCCATCGTAACACACATGTACCTCCCAGTCTCAAGAAAGTGGGGTAGGAGGTTCTCACACTGCTACGATGCCTGTGGATTAATAAATGTCAACCAGGCTATAAAAATTGCTGACAGTGCAGACACAGAATGTAAAAAAAAAGACCCAACTCTATATTCTGAAAACATCAAAAATGTTCGCTGCCTGAATGATTAAACTGATTGTAAATAGTAAATCTCCTACGTTATTTAAGTGACTGAAATTGCCTACAGCTTATATACTTCCTGTATTAGATACTTAATAATAACATGTATTAAAGGGGCACTCTAAGTACCATAACCACTGCCATCAGCTATTGAGATCATGATGTCAGCATGTTCCTCGCAGCAATCCCAAGTTCTCTGTCAAACTGAGGGTGTCCGGTAACTGTATCTACCCACCATTTTGACATACTGTTTTTGCAGAAGTTACGCTTGTACGTTAGCAATATCAATTCCTTACAAGCATGATACTACGAAGCAAGGGGAGTGTTGACCTGCATTAAAACATGTCTCTTGACGAGTCCCACTCAGGACAGAGCACCGTGGAAAGTCTCTCTGCATGGCCCAAGTTCACTCAGCAGTCTAATGATGCAGCTGTCCTGTGCTTTCTGGGCAGAGTTCACTGATGTCTACAGATGCAGAACAACATGGAACAAAATTAGGATGGCAGGACAGGATATCAAAATTGGTACTGACCCACCTAAAATGGAACAGTTGGGATGCCTGGTAATGACCACACAGACATTCATGAGGTTTAGGGTTTCTTTTCTGAGCTGCACATTTTTTATCCATGGAGGTGTTTGTTTATGACTTTTGCATTAATATTGATCACTATGCAGCATTGTGCAATGGGGTAACTAAGGAACCCTTGCTCAATACAGTGTGTTGGTTCTCTGTCAAACAAAGCAATTAAGAGCATGGCTGAATATTGTTTTTGTTATATACTCTTTATACATATGTACATTGGGAATATAGGGCCTGCTGAACCCCATAAAGCTATATCAGCTCTACCATCACTGATAGTGGCCCTGATTCCAACCATAACACAGTGTTTTCATAAAGCACCGGTTTTGGCTGTAGTAACCCATTTTATGCTGGTCCACTACCTCCTATCCCAAAGGCCAAGTTCTCCGTTAGACGAATCATGCTATGGTGCTGCCATAGTGACTAAAATGTATACATAATACATATTAAGGAACAGCAAACAAATATGATTCAGTCCCACCATATGGCCTCTTGAAATGCATGTTCCGGCTGGGCTCCCGATTCCTTTTTCATCAGTACTATATAAGTTTGGAATCTAGACCAGATTCCTTTTGGGTTGAGCACCGCGCCCAGCCCCCCAACTTCAGAGGCCCCTTTGGAAGAAAAAAAAAAAAACCAAGAGGTTTTACATGGCAATTTCACTTTAATAATTTTTTTATATGATATAGAGCAGATATACGTATGACATGCATTGTGAGTATATACATAAACGTACTGTCACTTTAATTGTTTGGTTTTGACACTGCATTTTTTTAATTGCATTTATCACATTCATTTTGCATTGTATACAGGGGTCCTGGGGGGAAAAGTGTGGGAACTCACCCAAGATCCATCCCCCAACAAACAAAATAAGTTAACTATGCAATAAACGAATAAATATAGAACAGTTGTAACAACAAAAACAATTTGGTAATGTTTGTCTATGTTCTATTTTAGATAAGCAATTCCCTTGTCAATTATACACAACTGCCAGCTTTGTGAATAGCCTACATATGTCTGATATGATTCTAAGTGAAACATCTGCAGGTATTCTACAAACAACTGCCACTGTTATTTCGACTTTGTGCAGTAAACACATTTTTTGTTTGTTACTCGAACAGTTACATATATTGACCAATACTAAGTACCAAGCATGAATTTAATAAGATGAATGAAGTCATTGATAGGGTGACAGCTTAATTACAGTGTTTCCAAAACAATATATAACAAAACAAGTTTAATACAATTAAAAAGCCACATACAGGTTCACAATGCCACCTGTGCCCAATAACCCGTTTGTGGTAATAGTCTAGGCCAGGCATAGGCAATCTTCGGCACTCCAGATGTGTTGGACTACACCTCCCATGATGCTTTACCAGCATTATGGGTGTAAGAGCATTATGGGGGATGTAGTCCACAACACCTGGAGTGCCAAAGGTTGCCTATCCCTGGTCTAGGCATACCCCTTTATAGCATGACATCCATGTCAAGTCATCGGTCATTCCCCTTGTGCTCAAACAAGAATGCATAGAGTAAAAAAAATATATGGTTCTTAAAAGTTCATCTATACTGCCAGGCAGAGGCTTTAATCACACACACACTTTCATTCCGTTGAACTCCAACTCCCATTATTTTCAGCCGAGGAGCAGACTAAGAGGATTAAAAGATCCACACAGTTTGCCATATTTACTCTGATCACCTCTGCAGTAGCAAACAGATATTGCTGCTTGAAAATTGGCCATAAGGACAAAGTTTTTGAATCAATAATCAGTATTGTGTCCTCTTCACAACCTTGAATGGATTTGCACAATTTAAAGCAACCACATTTAGTGTCTACTTAATACAAAATAGTGCACTAGACCAAACCAAATTAGATACACAGAGATAGAACAAAAAAGAAATTCTGAAACATTAAAGCAAATAACACGAAAGGTGTGCGTAATCTTATAGCTACACATATCTTCTTGTTTTTTTGCTAGCTCGTTCATCTGTCAGTTCAGCTACATTACACAATTCCTGAAACAATGACATGGAGAGAGGTGGAATCAGGAAGTGATGGGGTAGGTGCGGTGCGACTGGTGATGGCAGGCTGATGACGGCTAGACCTGTGCTGTGACAGGGGGCCTGGCTGTGAAGGTGAGCTGGGTTCTGGCAATGAATGGAGGGCAGGTGGCGGGCTCCGTTCATTCATTGCCAGGCCCTGCCTAGCGCCCCCTGGCTTGCAGAGCGTGGCCATGACAGCCCCCAGTACAGGGTTGCTGATAATACCCCGGGGCCGGTGACGGCGGAGGAAGGGAGGAGGTGCGGGCAGGGCAGCTCTCCTGCCTGCAGGTGCTCCTGGAAGCAGATGGAAAGGATTTGAGCCAATGCGGTTGCTGTCTCCAGGGATCCCATGGACTGTAAGGAAGGGGAAGCATGACTGCTGCCCTACAGTTAGGGGTGGGATAGAGAGGTATACTATGTTGCAGAGATGGGATGGTATAAGAAGGGGTGTAGAGGGGAGGGCACTCACCATTCGCAGAAGGAAGGCTAGGATCAGGTTTTCCCTCCCTCCCCACCCTATGGTTATGAATGTTGGTGTTTTCTTTTCTGTGGTGTTTTGTTTCTGTTTTTTTTTGCCACAGCTAAGGCGGAGTTCCTGGCCAGTGCAAGTAATTCCTGAGACAAAGATTTGAGGAGTCACAGCCTGCTAGGGCTGATGGCGGGAGGCAGGCTGTATGAACTGTGGAAATATACGGTTTTATCTGTCTGTTGGGTAGTCACTCCAACAGCTGACAGGTGGTGATAATGGTGGCACTGTTTAAAGTTAAAATTAAGTCAAGCTGTGGCCGTAGCCCTTATCCAACACTTAGGCGTCATGTCTTTATTGGGGGTAACGGGAATGTAATTTGGTCAGCAGTCATGCCTCTCGCTGCTGCTGCCACTCCAAAGGGCAGGTCCTGCAGGACTACTAACGGAAACGGCGTTCCTGCTGTGGAAAAAGTGCAGGAACGCCTTTCCCACACGTTCCTGCAGGACTTGAGCACTGATTGTATTTATATTCACAATGCTCTTACAGATAATTTAAATACACCTTAGTTCATTTAGCACTAGCACAATTAGATTTGACTCCCACGTTGGAATTAGTGTAGGACCCACCAATATTGCAGTACTGTGAAGTAGTGGTAGACTTAACACTCAGTTCCATGTGGTGGAACTGAATCCTCATATTTGCTTCCTGAAGTAGGGGATTTTAAGTAGCCTTATAACATTTTAACCCTTAATGACCAGACCGTTTTTCAATTTTCTTACCGTTAAGGACCAGGGCTTTTTAAATTCCTGCTTGTTCCTGTTTGTGTTTAGCTGTAATTTTCCTCTTATTTATTGTATCCACACATTTTATAAACACAGTTTTTCACGCCATTAAATGGTCTTTCTAAGGATACCATTATTTTCATCATATCATATAATTTACTATAAAAAAATTATAAAATATGATGAAAAAATAAGAAAAAACATGGACTTTGGTTGGATACGCAAGGCTTCTGACCAAAAATGGATTTAAAGAAGGTCACTTCCTTGCAGTAAGGGTAGGCCAGGGGAAACATTGATATTATGTATTTACTTATAATATACATGGAGACTAGAATATGTGCAAGCTTTTTTTTTTTTTTTTTTAATAATAAAAAGATAGACTTCTGCACAGCAAATAAAAATGTATTCTCCCCCTCCAAAAAAAGAGTTTCATCCATGTGACGTTTCAGTTCAGTACAATTTTGTCCTTGCAATAATTTCTAGAAAAACGGTTTGGGTGAACTATAATTGCACAAATACGTCTATTAGTGTGCAGCAATGAAAATGGCTAAAATATTTCCTAGCTTAATGACTTGGCAATATCAGACATTTTTGCAATGCCAAATGTCAGTTGTCAACTTGTCACAATTATATATCTGTATTAAAAATAATTAAATTTACTAATCTTAATATTTTGAGTTTTTAAATACAAGAAATAAACAAAACAAAAATCACCAATCAATTAAATAATTGTAAATCAGTGAATTAAAATGAGTTTAAGAGGCACCGATATTGGCCAGGCACAGTAGTAACCTAACCATCTCACCAGCCTCAAAATCTGCATTAGGTAGCTGTTTCTTACCCATCAGTCAGCTTTCTCCCTCACTACCCGCCCACCCCTCCAACCCCCCCATTAATCATCAATTTATTTTTACATTTTGATTGGACAGGAGATACAGCTCACATCACTGGGAAGAACTGTAGTGCATTATGGCAGAATAAACTGCTTATCTGCCCCTGCACTTCCCCCTACCCCTCAAAAAAAGAAAATCTAATTTTCCTGCATTTCCTCCCCCTCTTTCAGGTCCCTTGGAACAAACTGCAAATCATAAAACGAATTAAACGACTCGCCCATTGCCCTTTTTCGTTTGTTCATGACATGTCCATATGCCATTTCAGTCAAATCGCCAATCACCCAAAATTCAGATGAATCGTGAATGCACAAGTCTAATAAACTGATACTTTTCCTTTAAAAAGCAATTTGTATATCACAGAATTGGCTGTAAACAATGCCCATTTTCCAAACAGTTAGAATCTGACTACAGGTAATTACCTACAACTGTTTACCCCTGGAAGATTTTGGAATGAGAAAGAAACAGCTGCCATTAATGTACCTGACATCTAAAAAGCCGTGAGATTTACGCTCACAAATACCATCTGGTTAATCCAAATGGGCCTCAAAGTGAAGGACAGGGCAGGGCTTCACATATGTATATATAAATTTTATCCCAGCAGGAAAATATTTTCGGAGAGATTTAAAATGCCACTCTTAGGGATTCTAACGTTTTTTATTTTATGTGCCTCTACTTCGCTAGCCCAGGACAAGTCTGTGGACCTTCAAAGTATGTTTTTAAACTTTTTTTTATGATTATGATACTCTTGATTTTTGATGATTGGACTTACTCACAATGTGGTGCTTTTTAGATGTTAATAGTTGCTTTTGCAATATCCCAAAAATGGTCATTTGTATTGTAAAGCTGCTTCTATCGTACTAATTTATGATCCTTGATTTTCTTTTTTCATGTGATTGATTGTTAAGCTCGGAAACAAACATAAAAGTGTAAATATACAGGGGGAAAAACAGCTGTATATTAAGTAGACTGAAAGTAAGGTTTTACGGTTTTGGTGTGCCTTATTTTGTGTGTCTAGGTTTTTTTAATATTACATTGTCAACAAAGTGGTTTATAATTATTTCCAAAATTATTATTTTCTTTTTTAAACAATATTTGCCAGTAAATACAGACACAAAAAGAAATGGTTTATTTCAACATGCAGCAGTCTTTTTTGTTTATAAATATCTATTATTATTATTATTTTATTATTCATATAGTGCCATCAGATTCCATAGCGCTGTACAATGGGTAGACTGCATTCTTACAAAAATCATGCTCCTTTTAAAATTCCCCAAATGAATATACATGCACATAAAACTCTCCGCCATTTTAAGATGTTATTTGATTAACATAAATTTGGGGGTTATACCTAAGACATAAGTATTTCTACCCATATGGCTATCCAGTGGTTAATTCAGCGATGCTCAAGGAAGTGTGTTGTGAAAATAGTAAGTGGGTTTGTCTATAGGTATCTTAATCTAGTTTTTTTTTTACATTCACTAAAAACAAATACCCAAGAAAACAGCACATTACAAGGTAAAACCAATGTTTGATATTTCCGACTGTGTCATCTTAAAGTGGATCATAACTGGATTTTTCCAATACAGCGCGATGTGGTGCAAGCTTTTCGGACATATATAAGCCTGTACAAATCCAGGTCAATGAAGATTCTGATTGTACTTGGAGCATTGTGAGACCAGCAAATGAAACAACAAGAATCGTGTTCTCGATCCTAGAGTAAGAGATTTCTAATATGTTGGATTAATTGAAAGCATGTATTATGAACATCAGGAGCTTTCAAATGCAGATCTCCATTATTAAAGGAACACTACATGTATTCCTGCACTAATGTGCTAAAAACACAATTCAGGCCCCTGGTTCCCCTTGACACTATTTAAAAAGGTAATAAACGTACCTTTATTCCAGTGCAGTGCAGGTTTGCCACCATTCCAGTTTTGATGATCTCAACTAATCCAATGCTTTCGCATAGGAAAGCATTGGGAGATTATTGTGCCGGGCTGCACCAATCAGAATCTCATCACAGAAATGCATTGAATTAATTACGGGGAGCATTCAGTGTCTCTATGCGGAGCGTGGAGACGCTGAACGTCAGTGCTGCACATTGTGCACAACTGAGCCAGGGAGCACCTCTAGTGGCCGTCTGAGTGACTGCCACTAGAGGTGTTACTAGGCAGCAATTTAAAGGAACACTATAGTCACCTAAATTACTTTAGCTACATAAAGCAGTTTTAGTGTATAGATCATTCCCCTGCAATTTCACTGCTCAATTCACTGCCATTTGGGAGTTAAATCACTTTGTTTCTGTTTATGCAGCCCTAGCCTGACCTCCCCTGGCTATGATTGACAGAGCCTGCATAAAAAAACAAAAATCTGGTTTCACTTTCAAACAGATGTAATTTACCTTAAATAATTGTATCTCAATCTCTAAATTGAACTTTAATCACATACAGGAGGCTCTTGCAGGGTCTAGCAAGCTATTAACATAGCAGGAGATAAGAAAATCTTAATTAAACAGAACTTGCAATAAAGAAAGCTTAAATAGGGCTCTCTTTACAGGAAGTGTTTATGGAAGGCTGTGCAAGTCACATGCAGGGAGGTGTGACTAGTGTTCATTAACAAAGGGATTTAACTCCTATATGGCAGAGGATTAAGCAGTGAGGCTGCAGGGGCATGTTCTATACACCAAAACTGCTTCATTAAGCTAAAGTTGTTCAGGTGACTATAGTGTCCCTTTAAACACTGGGAAAGAAGGTGCAGTGACTGATTGTATGCAATGACAAAAAAAGGAAAAACAAAAAGGACTCATAGTGTAGTAAGTTAAAAACTTCTTGATAGAGTAAGGAAAATTAAAAATTGTACACTCACACTTTCAGGGAGCTTAAATACAGCTCCCACTTGTAGGCCTGGGCGGAATGATCCCAACCTATGGATATATTGTGGTACAGATTACTCAGGTTTTCCTTACAGTGACGGGTATCCTCATAAAAAGTAAAATACAAAATAAAAGTATATAGTGTAATATGTAGAGCTTATAAGCAGGGGTAGATATGTACATAGGTGTACACTCAAATATTATTAAGCCTAAGTATTGGCTCCAGAAGTAGTGAGTAACGTGGTATGATCCCCACTCTAGGATATAGGTGATGTGGATATTCCTCCATGTACATATAAAAGAGAAATAAAAAGCTACAATAGTGCATACAGTGAAATGGAGTGTAAAGCACAGTAAAAGTAATAAAAACCTACGCACATACTTCAGAGCAAAATTAGGTTTGGCTTGGGTGGTATTATTACCAAGGATATAAAGTTCAGGATTCAGCAGCAGATCAGGTCCAATAAAAAAGTACTGTTATTTTAAAAAACAAACAAACAATAAAATCAAAGATAAAAGGTAAAACAATATAAAATAGTATGATAGTACACTTAACGCGTTTCTCCTTGGATCGGCTTTATCAAAAGTGGTAAAACAATCCCTGAAGGACACTTCAGGCGCTGCACCTTCTTTTCCTGATTTATCCTACCCCCTATTGGACAAGAGAGACTCCTTTTTGGTGACTGAGCTGCCTTTGGACTATATCAGTATTGTACAAGTGCTGAATTGTTTCTGTTTTTATTTAGTAATTTAAACACTGCCTTTTCATCCTTAGATGTCCCATGCTACTTTAATTCAGAAGCAGAGCTTCATGGAGACTTTCACAATTTATTTATTTGTTTATTCACTTTCTTTTGCTGTGCAGTAGATAAAACTCGAGGTGGACAAGACATATGATTTGTAAATGAATGAGAGACATTTAAGTGCTGAAGTGTTTAGGAACAGGCAATGGCTGGCTAAGCTACACTTTTTCTGTAGAAATGTACAACAAGATAACATAGGCTAGGCCTATGTTAGGCTAGACACTAAGCTAATACTGAGCTATGAAAACCAAGTGAGAGGTTGTCCTGACATGGTGACACTCAGATAAAGTAATGGAGCTTATTAGTCAAAATGAAGAAACAAATGTTAGCAGAAGGTGTAAATAATACAAGAGGGAAAACAGACTGGGTTAAGACTTGCACAATTGTAATCCTTTCAATGCCCCTTGAAAAACATTCATAACATCAGTTCAAATCTCTTTGGCACTCTCTATATCAAATAATTTATAGTACCAGTCTTTGAGACACCTGTAGTATTTTACATAGTGTGACTTTTTTTTTAAATGCTTCAAAATTGAAAACATATAGTTTAATAAACAAAATATAACAAACATGTACTCTACAGTAAAGGAAAATTGAACAGAGGTGCCCTGTCTGACCTTCAGACCTCAGTTGTGTAGAACTTGTTTAACCATTTTAGAGACAAGGTTTAACGTTCTTGCACATGTTTAATGTGTTTCAGATTATCTTGCTAAAGTTCTCAGTTCAGTTCAGTATTATGTCTCTTATAACATTGCTATGATAACCTTATTAATTGAATGGATTTGGCAAAGATAGCCAAGCTTGGGATCAACAAAGTCCCCCCATGCAGCAGGTCATGAACCCACCAAGGAAGTGTAGTTAGATTTCTGACTGGTTTCGCATAGACACATTAGGGTTATGTATAAAAAAGTGTCATGATTTGAAAAGCAGTCTAAATAACTAAAAATGGGGCAATTGCCAAGGAAACCAGTGGACCAAGCAAGAACATTCCGCTGGTGACTCTGGTCCTTTTGTATATTTGCATCACTTTTCAGAACACAGAACTTGTTATACAGAACCCCCAGTGTTAGTGTATGAAATAATATTGTGTTTCATGAAGTGCTTCAATGTAAGTATCATCAATCGCTGTCATCACAATCTGGCCACGAAAGACCTTATACCAGCGTAGAACATCCTGCCCCTTGTTATTGTTGAATTAGAGGACAACAGGTGCAGGTCACCTAATCCTACAGCATGGTGTTAGCTTTTTTATCCTCAGTATCTCTTACAACTCCTGGTATAATGATACTTTAGTTATATGAACACAGTCATTAAAACGTAGTTCTAACTCAGACAATTCTAACTCAGACAATTCTAACACAGACAATTCTAACAAACAATTTGAACTCTTTTTTAAAAAAAAGTAAATCCCATTAACTGAAATAACCGTCATATCTTCTTTAACAAATAGCGAACTATAAAATGTAGCAATGATATCAATAATTTTCTTTTTTTCCAGTTTAAACACAGCCGCTGATTGCTCCCAAGAGAATGTGACTGTTCTTGATCAAAACCTCCAAGTACTGGGAGTACTCTGCCCAAACTCACCTAGAATTGATGTGTTTGAGACCCCTGGCAGTGCTTACCTCAGAGTCTCCACCAACTCAGATGCCTTAGTACGCACTGTATATCTGATGTATTATTCCTTTGCTCCTGGAAACGGTGAGTTAAGAAAGATTTAAAATTAGATCCTTAGAATGTTCCATAGTGAATGCATGACAGATCTGGATATCTGTTCAAAATACAGCTTTTATGCCATGGGCTAAGATCCGAAAGTACCAAAAACCATAAACCAACCATGGACTTCATAGTTTAGTCCTGTTGGCACTCATTAGCATGATGCAGTTCAGATTCTGAATTGAAGTCTATCTACCAGTGTATAGTGAAGTATTAAACGTTGTGGTAAGAGCAAACCTTCATAAAACTCCCCACTGATTTAGCCAAATTTCAAACTCCCGTAAGGAAGATAAGGAGTATCCCATGATTGGTCTATATTTTGATATATTTCTGAACATCATTACACTACATGCGTCTTGCTTAGCCAGCTGTGTAATTTCTTTTATTTAAATGTGAGCAATGTTGTTACTTACACTTTACGATTAATTCTTGCCTCTGTGTCATTGGACGATTTCAGAAGCTGCAGTGTGCGGAGGACAGATCAATGGCTATTCTGGATCTATTTCAAGCCCTAATTACCCTAGCAGACATCCACACTTTGCTTATTGTGTTTGGCACTTGGAGACACCAAAGAACACCAAGATTGACCTGTCATTCACTGAGATCTTGTAAGTTATGGTGAATTACAATATATCATACCTGTAGCTCTACATGCGATATGGAAAGTGTCTTTCATAAGGATAGATTTTGAATCTAGAAAACTTTAATGACTTCTAGATTCTAAACGATCATATATGTTCACTTTTTTTTATCTCATGTAAGATATGCTCTCTGTGGTTTTCCTTTATGACCTTTCTCTGTTCCCTTCAAATCCAGAAATGAAAATAGAGAGAACATCATCTAAACCAGTTATTAAAAGGAGGACCTTGGGACTCAGTTTAGCAACAAAGACATACTACATAACTAAACAGGAATGTCCAATCCTGGTTCCCCCTTTGCTATGGGACTAAAATTCCAAATTCCCAATATGTTGCTTTGATCATAAGGATGGAATATAAATAATGAAAAGATATTATACACCCCCATGTAACAGGAATCACCCTGAAATGACAACTTGATTTGAGCACGAGTCTAAAGGGCAGATGTTTATGTATATTGTCAGCTACATAAAACATGAAAATGCTCACTATAATTGCTTAAAGGAACGCTTCACACTCATAAAGCTTTTTTTTATTTATAAACATGCTGATTTCAATAGAAATTGACACTTGTATAAATTACTCCTGTATCACCGCCTCGACTGTCAATAAGCCAGTTAGAAAGGTTTTCTTCCGATACTACAGTTCTTGAAAGAAAAACTCATATGCGCTGCTAGATTTCTCAATGAGAAGGCACTGATTGGCACACACACCAGAACAGACCGATGTCTATGCTGGGACAAAAGGCAAGAGGGCTTGCAGTAGCTTCAAATACCAGATCTGTGGCTACTGCAAGTTCATTTTTCACATAACCCCCCCCAAAAAACATGCAAAATAAAATATGTACCTATTTTCTTTGGGGATACATCCACTAGAATTTTTTTTTTGTTTTTTAAATATATTTAACAGTGGTTCCGTTAAGTATAAACTCCTTGCATCTCCACTTGTCTGAAATCTCCTAAAATAAATGCAGTAAATGATTTACATTGTCTATAGTGAACTACTATATATTAATATGAAGGATGGGCAAAACGTTCTCAAAGCTGGTTAATATACAAAACATCAAGCTGAGCTGTGAATAATGTCTGTTTAATCTTATACTTTACAGGTGCTGTTTTGCCTAGACAAATCATGGCCTGCAAGGCTCTGCATGCAGTTTGGCAACTGTTTTAAGTAATTATATGAACTGTTTGAAGATATTAGCTGTTTCTTGAAATATATTTTCCCTTTCCTTCCAGTTTAGAAGTCGACGCAGTGTGTCGTTTCGATTTCATTGCTTTGTATGATGGCCCAACCACTAACTCGCCAATCCTGGATGTATTGTGTGGTCGGACAGTGGCAGAGTTAGAAACAACATCCAACACACTGACCGTGGTGCTGAGTACAGACTATGCCAACTCATATTATGGATTCAATCTTAATTATGTAGCACTGCCCGAAAACAATTCAAGTGAGTACAAAAGATATAAATGGTAATACTAAAACTTTCATAATAGTCTTCCAGAAATCACACCATAGAAAGAGACTAAGGCCATTAATAACAATGCGTCTTAATGTTCAAGAATTACATTTAAAAAGGTCAAGTGTGAGATTCAAAATCCATTATAGTGTCTTTCTGCTAAATCTTACAACTGAATTTTAGTGCTTTAGTCTTTTTTGTTTCTATCAATTCCAAAGTCCCTTTATACTATCTATAGTAACAGAGATACTATGTGTTTTATTTGTTTGTAAGGCTCTTTGTTCTGCTCTGGAGAAAAAATGACCGTTATTTTCGACCCATCCTATATCAACTCACTGGGATATAATGCAAATGAATTGACACTGATTGATACATCCTGTGGACCAGTTTCAAGCAATCCTATTGCATTTAATGTACCTTACACCTCCTGTGGAACAGTCAGAAAGGTAGGATGGGGAAAGGATACAGTTTTCTATTCTAAATTAGAACTTCTACAGCCAGTTCTTGAGGTTAATCATCAATTTGGGATCTTTTTTTTAACTATCGGCATTGGTTTAGAATTTGGTAATTCCTAAATCTTGGAAACAATTTGCTTCTTAACGACTTGCTTAAAAATAACTTCTGTTAACGAGCAATTTCTCTTCTTTTTACCAAGTAATTCTTTCCAGCATCATTACTTTTTTCCTGGCAAAGGATTGTATTGCTTCTTCCAGCATAACATTGCCATGATAACCTGTGGCAATGTTTGTGGGAGCCATAATGTGGTCTGTAACCTGTGAAGGTGCAGTCCACAAGCTTCCTCTCCCCTGGGCTGATCTGTGAGGTTCATGAGAAATCCAGCCTTTTTTATTATGCAGGATTATCTTGATTCTGATGCCTAAATTATTCCTCAGGAACTAGTATCAAAGGTCATAGATGCTTTGTTACCATTAAATAATATATCTCTTGATTTCACTGATATGGTAATGACTAAGGAAGTGAGAATACCATCTAGTATGAGAAATCACACAATTGCATTGTCAAAGTTCAATAATCAAGCCTCTTTTCTAGGTGGAAGATCATGTTATCTCATACACCAACATTATTACTGCCATTTCAACTGGAGTGATCACTAGACGGAAGAAGATAGAGTTTGTGATGACATGTGAACTGGACAATGAATCCATTGTGGAGATTATGTATGTGACGGAAAACGATATAATTCAGGAGAGTCAGGAGACAGGCAAATATGACGTTAGTTTATCATTCTACCAGACTCAGGATTTTACCACTCCAGTCCTGGAATCTCCCTACTACATTGAGCTCAATAATACACTCTTCCTGCAAGCTACCCTGAAGACTCAAGACCCTGGACTCACCTTATTCACAGAGAGCTGCTTTGCATCATCTAAATCAAACTTCAGTGATCCTACTTATTCTCTCCTCCAGAATGGGTAGGAAGAGATTACATTTCACAGTAGGCAGACATGTTGACCATCATTTCTTGAAATATTTTCTCTGTAATTAGTGAGGATGTAGTCACAAAACTGTGACTTATGGAGATGTAAGAAATTAATTATTAATGCAGACCAGAATCATCATGGTGGAAAAAAGTATCCAACCACGCATTTATTTTTCAACTTGATGATGAAACTTTAGCAATTTAGTTGTCAACTTGCCACAATTCAAGTTGACAAACACTATAAAAAGTACTAAATGGCACAATATCTTACTAGGGAAGTCCTAAAGCCATGTCCTTGTGTTGGTAGGTAGTCTTCAGAACCAAAACGATCCTTCCCACTTGTGTCCACTTTCTATGCAATTTGGATCATATTGTTGATGTATCAAACATTAATTTTATACTTAACACAATAAACACATGATACTGATTTATGTGTTGTAATTTTGATTTCAACTACTATACTGTATAAATTTCCTTTCCAGGTGTGCAAAAGACAGGACGTACCATAACTTTCCCTCGGGCAGTGGCTTTGCACGGTTCAGTTTCAGTGCCTTCAAGTTCATTGAAGAATACCCTTCGGTGTACCTCCAGTGCCGAGTGGTGATCTGCGATGCCAATGACCCTGGGTCCCGCTGTAACCAAGGCTGCATCACTCGAAACCGCAGGGACCTTGGCTCAAACGTAAGGAAAGTAAGCGCAGTGGTCGGCCCCATACGCTTGAAACGTCAAAGTGATGTTGATCCTCTAGGTAAGAAAAACAGGGGAAAAAAAAATCTAATTTCTAACAGGGTTATTCACTAATGTGAGAATTCAATGTGAATTCAGAGCTCACTGAGAGAATTTGTCCAGCTTGGCTACTTAGTCCTTAAATTTGAAATTCACTTTGAGTTCATCTTGAATTCTTGCTTTAGTGAAAAACATTGTTAATATTTGGCATACAATATTTAAGCATGCAAGTCAATGTTTTCACAATCTTATTCTATCTATAAAATATCAACGAGTATCCAGAGATCTCTCTAATGTGGCTTACTTATTTCATTCTCATAGGACCAGTCAGTGAGAAGAGAGGAGAAGACTCCACCTCAGAAACGAGCAACATTTATTTGTTCGGAATACTGGTACTCGTGGTCAATGTGTTATTAGTGGCATTTATAGTACTCAGGAATTCCAGGAAGAAACCAAATAGTTATGAATACCAGGCACTGCCTACTGAATAAGAGGAACAAAAACTTCCCTATGTATCACTGGCCCAAATGGCTGATGACAAATAAAATTTAGAAGGTATGAACATATGCATCTCTCTAGAAATCTCTTTGAAACTGGTTCAGCTCAAGATGTACAACCTGTCTCTTCTGCTGTCCCCACTATGTCACATCCATGCTAAGCAGTATTTTACATGCGACTTAAAACATTTTTGACACTGCAGAGAATGTCCATTAGTAGCCACATGGAATATCCAAGGGCACATTGAAACACTGGCACATTCTGCTTGATTACATATATTAAAAAGAAAAAAAATGTAGTGAATGCAGTCTTTTTTATTTTATGCAATATGATCAATATCTTCAGATCTTGGTTATAAGGGCAGTCACTTTTTTTTTCTCCACCAAGTGCTCCCACATTCTAGAAATATCTATTTTTTTTAGTAAATATTACAAATTTAATAAAAACAGGAGGAAAAAATGAAATGTCATCCAATGGACCAATTACTCCCAAAGTATCCAGATTTGTGTTAAATGCGCTAAATACAAAATTTCTATACAACAAAATGGAACAAGAAAGAAATTAAAAACCCAAAAAGTAAAAAATACATAGGGCCGAATCACAGCGTAGTATATAAACCTGCACACATAATGCATTCACAAAAATAAGATAAAGTGGCACATCACCAAATTGACCTTGATCAGAAACCCTATTTTCAATATTTTTGTATTATCATGTAGACCAGGGTTCTCCAAACTCTTAGATGTTCCTGATCTACAAATCCCACAATTTTATTGCTATCTATTTCATGGGAGTTGTAGTTCAGCAACATCTGGAGGACCAGAGTTTGGGGAACCCAGATAAAGACCATACGTAATCTGCGATTGAAAAAAAAGATTGAAAAAGATATCTATAAACATTTGGTGATATACTATTTTTTTAATCTGTTTTCACTGTAACCCCGTTGTTGTTGGTTTTTGTTTTTTCTTAATCTTTCTAGCTCCTTTTTATTTTTTATGATTTGTTGAAAGACCCTGATGACTTCTAAAATACATAAAAGGAGGATGTTATTCTTTTAGTGGTGGTGAAGTTGGACCACACTTGGGGTGGTGAGGTTTTTAGGTATATTTCAATTTATATGCATACACTGGTGTAATAGAAATGTTAGCAAACTTATAATGAAATAAATATATATTTAAAAGAAATATTAACGCATATTCCTATTCTCTTGGGTCATGCTCCAAGTGTATGTTCAAGTAACTGTAATTGAGCAAGACTAGGAATGTAGAATGGCAATGCTGCACTAGCCATCTGCTTGAGGTCTTGTCCTTGGACATATCGAACTAAGTGCTGTCTCCATAATATTATGTTCCATTAGAACTTTGCTATCTTTCTCTGAATTCTCTGTTTACTTGTGGTGGTTTGTACATTCCATGTGTTACCTGAAACTTAAATACATATTCCAGCCACCAGAATATTTTAGGTAACAGGATCAACGTATTGTAGAGTAATGCCTTTTTTTTCAAAGTTTTCACAATCATTTCCATTTAAAGGATAATTGTAATATCACAGAATCCTTAATATTATCAGGGTTATTCACTAAGCTGAGTATTGCTGAGAATTCAAAGTGAGTTTCATTTTTAAAGCAGCTGATCTGGAAACATGGGTGACCTCATTTTATTTTTTCCCGTTTAGCTGTGTTCGTAATTTGAAATTCACTTTAAATTCACTCTGAATTCCTGATAAGTCTCACTTCAGTGAATAATCCTATATTTCTGCTTGTCTCTATATGTAACAACAAATAGGTATTTGTGAAGTGTGAAAAATAAAATTAAATGTAGAAATCCACACATCATTATTATGATATTTGTTAAATCTTGATGGGCCAAATGGAAAAGCAACAAGAGGGACAAACCTTAATTTATTTACAGCAGTAAATGCTATTGCACAGAATGCTTGTGAAACACAACAGTCTTGTACCTTTGTCTTATATTTAGCAACAAGTCACAGACTGTGTATAAGGAGGCATTTAATAACATATTTCAATAGTATCTCAACACTCATTGATCCATTTGATAAACTCATGATAGCACAGGGGTATAACCCAACTTGTAACTAAATCGTTCACCTATTTGGTTTGAACTATGTGGTCCTAAAAATGTTGAAGTGTGACTTTGGGTCAAAATAATCCAGAATCTACAGAATTGTTTTAGTGAAGAAACCTATTGTGTTTATAAAACACCAACACTTTACACAGTGTTGTACAATGGTGGAGAATCAAGAGTACCAAGACAGTACAATACTGGAGCTGGAACAAAAGGAAAAGACATCGCTGACCAAGAGCCTAAAATCTAACATAGAAACACATTTATCAGCTTACAATTTAAATGTTGAATGTCTTATTCAAAGTGCACAACCACCTTTTTCAAGTTTTAAAAGGGCACTATAGTCACCCAGACCACTTCATCTCATTTAAGTCGTGAGTGAAGTGTCCCATTGCCACTAAGTACTGCAATGTAAATTATTGCATTTTTTTTAGAAGCTGCAATAATTACATTGCAGGACTAAGACTGCCTCTACTGGCTGTCAATCAGACAGCCACTAGAGGCACTTCCTGGTTGCTAACAGACTTTTGGTCCCCTGACGCTGGACTTCCTCATGCTCTGCATTGCGCATTATCCCCCCCTATCGGAAGATGTTGAAGGAGCCGACACACCGACCTAGCGCTGAGGGACATTGGAGCTGGAATAGTGTTAGGAATACAGATTTTTATTACTAACACTATATAATCTCTTTAACTGTGGCTAGACTGACCTAGTAGGGAGCGGCTTTGTGGTGACCACTCTGAAGCTATAAATGTGGAAAAAAAATAGTTTTTGCATATATTTTATTTGATGATAAAGGTAGGTCACAAATCTCTCCAGTATGGAGGTCAACCACCTCTGAACTAATGGACTTATAAATCGATTATTTTTCTTAACAAATACAACAATCAATTCTTCATATAAACCACACTTGATAAAATAAGTTAAAATGTATGTTGACTTACCTTTTCTCTCACGCCGCCCTGCACTGCACGAGCTGGCCCCGCCTCCTTGACTAAGATAATGGAGATCAGTAAACCGCAGTATTGCACCAATGAATTGATGTCTATCAGAACAATCTTGTTGAAATCTAGAAGTAAAACTCAGCTATTTCTGCAGAAGCTCCTCTAGTGGCTTTAAGGGTGACTGCAGTATGGGAAAATCATAAGTTTAAACACCTTTTTACTAAGATCTAAGAGAGGAATACATGTTTGTCTATAGCATGTCCCTGCAGGGTGTAATGGATGCAGTGACTGTGCTTGTGTAGTGTATGCATTCTGTGTGGGTAGTGTATGCATTGTGTGTGTGTTGTGTATGCAGTGACTGTGCTTGTGTAGTGTATGCATTCCGTGTGGGTAGTGTATGCATTGTGTGTGTGTTGTGTATGCAGTGACTGTGCTTGTGTAGTGTATGCATTGTGTGTGTGTGTATAGTTCATGCAGAGAGTGTGTTTGTACAGTGTATTCAGAGAGTGTGCTTGTGTAGTGTATGCATTGTGTGTGTGTATAGTGTATGCAGAGAGTGTGTTTGTGTAGTGGATGCAGTGTTTGTGTAGTGGATGCATTGTGTGTGTATAGTGTATGCAGAGAGTGTGTTTGTATAGTGTATTCAGAGAGTGTGCTTGTGTAGTGTATGCATTGTGTGTGTGTATAGTGTATGCAGAGAGTGTGTTTGTGTAGTGGATGCAGTGTTTGTGTAGTGTATGCATTGTGTGTGTATAGTGTATGCAGAGAGTGTGTTTGTATAGTGTATTCAGAGAGTGTGCTTGTGTAGTGTATGCATTGTGTGTGTGTATAGTGTATGCAGAGAGTGTGTTTGTGTTGTGGATGCAGTGTTTGTGTGGTGTATGCATTGTGTGTGTATAGTGTATGCAGAGAGTGTGTTTGTATAGTGTATTCAGAGAGTGTGCTTGTGTAATGTATGCATTGTGTGTGTGTGTAGTGTATTCAGAGAGTGTGTTTGTGTAGTGGATGCAGTGTTTGTGTAGTGTATGCATTGTGTGTGTATAGTGTATGCAGAGAGTGTGTTTGTATAGTGTATTCAGAGAGTGTGCTTGTATAGTGTATGCAGAGAGTGTGTTTGTATAGTGTATTCAGAGAGTGTGCTTGTGTAATGTATGCATTGTGTGTGTAGTGTATGCAGAGAGTGTGTTTGTATAGTGTATTCAGAGAGTGTGCTTGTGTAATGTATGCATTGTTTGTGTAGTGTATGCAGAGAGTGTGTTTGTGTAGTGGATGCAGTGTTTGTGTAGTGTATGCATTGTGTGTGTATAGTGTATGCAGAGAGTGTGTTTGTATAGTGTATTCAGAGAGTGTGCTTGTGTAGTGTATGCATTGTGTGTGTGTATAGTGTATGCAGAGAGTGTGTTTGTGTTGTGGATGCAGTGTTTGTGTGGTGTATGCATTGTGTGTGTATAGTGTATGCAGAGAGTGTGTTTGTGTTGTGGATGCAGTGTTTGTGTGGTGTATGCATTGTGTGTGTATAGTGTATGCAGAGAGTGTGTTTGTATAGTGTATTCAGAGAGTGTGCTTGTATAGTGTATGCAGAGAGTGTGTTTGTATAGTGTATTCAGAGAGTGTGCTTGTGTAATGTATGCATTGTGTGTGTAGTGTATGCAGAGAGTGTGTTTGTGTAGTGGATGCAGTGTTTGTGTAATGTATGCATTGTGTGTGTATAGTGTATGCAGAGAGTGTGTTTGTATAGTGTATTCAGAGAGTGTGCTTGTGTAATGTATGCATTGTGTGTGTAGTGTATGCAGAGAGTGTGTTTGTGTAGTGGATGCAGTGTTTGTGTAGTGTATGCATTGTGTGTGTATAGTGTATGCAGAGAGTGTGTTTGTATAGTGTATTCAGAGAGTGTGCTTGTGTAGTGTATACATTGTGTGTGTGTGTGTGTAGTGTATGCAGAGAATGTGTTTGTGTAGAGTATACATTGTGTGAGTGTGTGTATAGTGTATGCAGAGAGTGTGTTTGTGTAGTAGATGCAGTGTGCGTTGTGGATGCAGTGCCTGTGCAAGTATTTTTGACTACTCAGGCACAGATGCAATTTGTTGCCCGCCCCACACACCCAAAAAATGCATCTTCACCTGTGTGTCTCTTAACCACTCTTTAATTTTCAGTTTCTTATTCCATTTTTTGAATGACTTTCAGTGCATATTACCCACCTTTTGTGTCTTACATCCCATTTAGTGTATCTCCCTTTTTTCACTTTGTGTCTTACACCCCCTTATTTTTCTCTTTCTTTCCCACTCTGTGTATCTCTTATTTCCCTCCAGCCCATTATGTGTCTCTTTCTCCCCCACCACCTTAGTGTGTCATTGTCCCCATCCCCAGCTCCTCTGTATGTGTCAATGTTCCCTTTATAGACCCTGTGTGTCACTATCACCTTCCCTAGCTTCTTAGTGTGTCATTGTTCCCTTCACCAGACCCTTAGTGTGTCATTGTCCCCTTTCCCCAGCCCCTTAGTGTGTCATTGTCTCATTTTCCCAGCCCCTTGTGTGTCTCCTACTTTCCCCCAGCCCCTTTGTGTGTCTCTTGCTTCCCTCCAAACCCTTGTGTCTCTTACCAGGTCAACAACTTATCTGTGTGTGTTGTAGATGGAGTGTGTCTGTTTGTGGGGTTATGCTTACTCCACCTTAACTGCACTCGCTATATAAATGCAGATAGGCAGCCCTGGGCCCCCTCTTCGCAGGACAATGTTGATGTTCCACCAGTCCTGCTGTGTGTGTGTCATTGTCCCATCCCCTCTGTGTGTGTCATATTTGTCCTCCCCTCAGCCCATGTCTGTGTCATTGTCCCCTTGCCCTTTTGTGTGCAATTATCTTTCTTCCCCCCTTGTGCACGGCAGGCTAGTTAAACACAGCAGACTGGTTAAACTGTGCAGGAGCGGCAAAAAAGATATATATATTTTTTGTATAACAAAACTGTGTATAATCAGCTTAAAAAATGAATGTCACTCCACTAACCTGCACATTGGTTCAAATAAGAACTTCTGTTCTAGAGACACAATAGTGCCCCCTAGTGTCCATAAGGAAATAAAAAAAAAAAAAAAATTCTGACTTTTTGATTAAAATTGTTTCATTTGTGCTATCAAAGCACCACTGTCTCTTTGGAAATCTTCAGATAGAAAAATAAAATACATAATCTTATATATTACATTGGAATATATCAACAAATTTAAACAGTGAAAGGATATGCATAGAGCAGGCACTACATCATTTTGCATTCAATTTTCGCAAAATCTAACAAAAGGCAGAGCTTGGAGTAATATGCCTTTGATATCAATCATCGCTTGGCTGCCAAAGCACATTCTCACGCAATAGGCAATAGGTGTCTATGGCATCTTGGTAAACATACTAAAAGATCATACCGTGGAATCATAGAGCCTTCAGTTTAGTTCGGAACCCGTATTACAGCTTTGATTTACTACATTTGCTATACATTCCCAATTATATGCTTTGCTAAGTCTTGTACATTTTACCTTTAGACACAGAACTTAATTCAAAAGAACATATAATTTTACATACAAGAAGGGACATCAAACACTGACAAAAAATATAATATATTTTGTTTATTTTTATATGTCTTTCTTGCATATGACCAAAGACATTAGGTTATGTATAAATATGGGTGCCATCTTTAACACCAATGATGATCTATTCGGTTCTATTTTACCTTTGTACCCTCATAGAACATAAAAAGATGTTTAAATGGGCTTTATACAAGAGAGCAAAAAAGGACGTACTTGAGTCTTTTTATTCAATATTTGCAGGTTTTCATTCTTACATTTACAACTTCTTTTACAATGAAGATAACACAAGACAGATAGAGGAGAACTTAAATTGGCAGACTTTTTGAGCCTAATTTTTAGTATAGACCCTAATTATGAGAAATCTGTAGATTGTAGGCTTGTATTAGCAGGGTCCTCTTCAGCTACTGTTGTCTTCTTTACCTATTGTACAGCTCTCCAGAATATGTTGGAGCTATATTAGTAATTGTAATTGTATTCTTAAGAATGACAATCAAGTCAGAAAAAGAATACAAAGCTGCCATTGTCAGAATTATAGAATAACCGAATGGCTCACAGCTGAAATTTATTTGATTAAGACAGCGAGCATTGACTGGCTGCTTGCTGTTTAGCAGATATGCCCCCACTCGAGGCAAGTTGAGAAAGGTATATGGACTGATGTTTTTTAATTGCACTTGTTTTATGCTTTATCTACTGCACATTTTCTTCGTATCACAAATTATTGTTTAGACATTATGGTAAGTGCATAGATGTATGATGACTGATTTTGAAGACCTAACCCCATGGAAATTAATAGTTGTGCTTTATACAGTTGCATCAATGATATTTCCTCATTGGTCTAAACTTCATATCTTCTCATCATTCACTCATCAGAAGTAAAGGTCAAAGATTTGATGTATAAAATGCTTTGCAAAAACGACATTAGAGTGTGACTACATTTTTGCTTCTTTTTGAACTGTAATTTTTTTGTAATCTGTAATTTATATAACCTCACCAATCATTTAGTTTGCATGTGGAGTTCAAACATCATAAAGTATCGGAGATCTGAAGAAGCGAATTGCAATATTGGGACGGATTGACAATCTCGAATGGGGTCTGTGCTCGCTGAGCAGAGTTAGTTGGGGCCTCTAGTGGAGTGGGAGGCGATAAGACAGCTGGGGAACAGTTTTACATAGTAGAATGGAAAAGGAAAGGATTAGCTAGCCCTGAATTTTTGCAACTGAACAGATTTGCCCATCTGAGGGAAAATGTTGAGAGCATCAGCCCCATTCTACTGGGGCAGTGTGGCGATTGCAGCCCATGTCCAGAAGGATCCCACATAGTCCCCCATGAGAAGCCTTGAATTAGTGATTATCTCCTGAGAGACCCTCTCACCCATGGATTACAGGTAAGTAAAAGTTTTATTTTAGGCGAAAAGAGGGATGAGTATTCTTAACACACTGTAGAAAATTCCAGCACTTGGAATAAAAATAATTGTTTCTAATAATGGTATGTTCCTTTACACATTTGGATTATGTTAACAGAGATACTGGGTGCCAAGTGCTACATACAAATTAAGGGAGATTTAGGGGAACCTAAATAAAATGACATAAACCATAATCGTTATTTGGGGTCTATAGGTTCCCTTACAGCATAGTGATCACTGTTCACCCTCCTTTCCTCAGTAAAATAAAGATTATTTACCTTGTTTCCAGAACTCAGACTACTGCTCTGCAGCCTCCAGGTCCTCCTCCACTGAGGTGAGCATCTAAGCTGACATCACACGCAATGTCCCAATGTCCTCCAATCTATCGTTTCTCAAAAAAACTAGAATTAGGCCTGTGTCACCAAACGCCACATTCTTTCAATCAAATGCTTTTAAAAAGCAGCATTTGATTCCAAGACCTAGTGCCTACTAATCCGCTACAAGTGTATTTAACCCAGCAATGTAAACATTGCAGTTTCTACAAAAAAAAAGTGGTCTGGGTGACTTTATTGGTCCTTTTAGTTGAATGTATACATGCATATTTCATTAAGGTATTCTTACTCTTATTGTTCCACATAGCTCATATAGGCAGATAACCTAATTATGGTTCACCTTTATTATAGGAGTTCAAGCTCCAATATCAGCCACACAATACTTGATTAAAAGGACTATTATTTGTAATGAATATTAAATAAAGTAACATTTGTGATAGTGCTTTAGATAGTTAAATTCTTAATGCAAGCATGCTAAACTATCCTGAATTATTAACAGGAACAGACTGAAAAATAATACAGCGTTTATTCAACTGTTTCCATACAGCTCATCAATTTCACAATTATATTTTGAACAGGGAGTATCTGGTAGACAATAAAATTATTTCTACAGAGAATACTGTTAAAATTAATAACCGTATAAAATTGCCATTTTCTTCTGACTTAACTCAAAGGGACACTCTAAACCCCTAAAGCACTTTAGCTAGCTGAAACGCTTTGTGTGTGAGTTTGTCCAACTTTATTTCATTTTGAAAAAAGTGCAGATTTCAATAGAAATTGACATTTCTTAATTAACCTGGTAACACTCCCATGGCTTTTCAAGTAGACAACAGGTCCTGCTATTTCCTAGTTTGGTTTGCTTATCTGCACTACAATCAAGAGAGCGCAATTGCCCAGAGCACATGCCTTGCAAAGACTTCTCATTCAGCTGCATTTGAAAGTCTGTCATTGGACAGACACAGAAAGTCTGGGCAGGGTTAGAAGGGGAGGGTTTGCAAATGCAGCAGACAAGAGAACTGTGGTTTTTGCAAGCGGTTTTTAAATATACCCCCAATGACAAAATGAATAATGTAAGTTTTCATTTGGGATATAAATTTAAATTTAAGGCCAAATAAAAAAAAATCTCTAAGTCAATTCTGATTTCAGTTTGATTATTTTGACTTTAAATTTGAAATGCACTTTGAATTCCTGTCAACTCTCACTTTAGTGAATAACTCTAAAAGTGTTCCTTATTAGCCTTTATCTTTGTGTATGTATGGAGCTCTGCCACTGTGATATCAATGAGAGCTGAGTTGTGGGAACAAAAACTACATAGAAAAGGCAAACATCAGTAGTCCAGGGACATATGCAGTAACTATTCATAAATGACAGTGAGTCAGTCTTTGTGTTTTCTATATCCAAACAGTCCCATCTGGCATTTGTTGTTCTGAGCAAATGCTGTAGCTTTAATGGTCAGTTCTTATTTACTACTGTAATGCCCGAGCAGGGAGGCAGAGTACCTGCAGAGCCTCTCACTTTAAAATGACTATTGTGCCCATATCCAAGTATAATGAAGATCTGTTCTCCATTCTTATACATTACCGGTATTTCGGTTTGCAATCGACATGATAAATAACACTGATTACATAACACATATGCTAGTCATTATTTCTAATGGAATGGGAGATCAGAGGTTGTCTGTTCCATTTTTTTTAAGGAGGAGAGGGCTTTAGCATGTTTGAGAAAGAGGGAAGAAGGCAGGGCAGTGGGCAAAAAGTGCAAGGAGGGATGACAATGAAGTCACCAGCTCCTTGCTCTGCCTCTCACAGTGCTTCCCATGGAGAACGATTACTTCACTCTGATTGGATCTCAGTCAGCTTCCAAAACTGAATCTGGAAATGACAAAATAGCAGCTAAGAAGCTGCTACTCTGAAGTGAAAAGTACAAACAAGATATAATTTAATTTTTAACTAGAAATATAAGGATGGAAATTAAATCTAAAGGTATATCAATAAATATCTAAAAAGGAGGAGTGCATATTTAGTCCGGAGAGTCCCTTTAGTTAGAAATTATCATTTTTCTCCATACTGTCTCCATTACTTATGAAACACAGATCTGATAATACTTGCTTTAAGGATCTGATAAGCTGAAAGGGTAATGTTCCTGATTCACAAACAGTTTAACCTATTGTCAGTAGTTACCCCTGATGTTAAGTGGAGATATGTACTATGTTAAATAGATTTTTATTTTTTATTTTATTCCAGTGAGGGAAACTGGTCCAGTCCATGTGATATTCTCTAAAGACTATTAGTATCATTGGTAGGAATTGAAATTGATTTTCAAATTTTAGGGCCAAAACAGCCAATTGAAAAAAATCTCCAACTCATTCATGTTTTCGGGGAGGCTATTTTAGCTAAAACTCTCGCATTCAATTTGAATTTCCAACAAGTTGCACTTTAGTGAAGCCTTTGTGTGTATAAAAGTGTGTAAATACTCACTGAAAATGTTCTACAATAGTTGGCATTTTACACTGCGCTTGTTCTGACCAACGTTACCCAATGCCGCTCAGCTACCTGTGGGAAACACAGCCACAAGTGCACATCTACAGTCACGTTACCAATATTTACCATATATTATCTTATAAGGAGAACACATTATCCCGATTATTTGTGCTGTAATATGTACAAGACATGTGGGAGCTGCAAGCTATCATATGATTTAAAAGAAGTGATAAGAAAATGTTAAGAATGAGCAGACATGTTTGATAAGTAATGCTTGGAAAGCACAATACAGTCATTCTTTCCATTTCCACTATGGTCGCTGTCTCCATTCATTTTTGTCTCCATTGTCGTTCCAGAAGAGGTGGTGGTGCTAGTCTGTATAACATTTATTAAGTGATCCAGTCTTACATCCAGGTGATCCTCCAGAATTTTCATTTTCTGGTCAATATGTTTCATAAGAGCCCGCTCCATTCGCTCCATTTGTACAGAAAGTAGTCTTTCTAAGACAGCACCAATTTCAGTCTCCCTACAAACCAAAATCGCAGAAATATGAAAGTTGCTTAAAATGTGTAACACCACATAAATCTGCAGAATTTTAAGATAAATAAAATAAGCATTGGGGAGGTTCATATTATTGGAGCTCAAGCATATAAGGCAAAGTTATAGAAACACATACACTGTGATACATATTTGTGGCCGCACAAAATATTTTTATATTATGTGTGACATCTAAATAGGGGTTTGTTGGACTGTAAAATAATTACCAAATGAAACCTTAGCATCAGTGAAGACCTCCGTCCATCTACTTTACACTGTAAATTGCAGGTGGCTGAAATAGTAAAAACTTTTTAAATGTCCTTCACACTACGTTATGGGCATTTCATTGATTAATTTATTCAGAATGAGCAAATAAACATTATTGGCTATCATCTTGGAGCAATTTGCTGATATGTAAATGCAATTTTATATTAGACATAGATTTCTGGAATATGGCTCAGCACAGTGAGTTTAAGACACGTTTCTTACCTTAAAAATAAATGTATAAAACTAATGACCTTAATCAATAGTAGATTCAGGACTACAGTGGAAATAGAATAGGATAATTAAATAATCTGCCAAAACAATATATATAGTGAAATAATGTGCTTGTAGCAATATGAAATCAAACTAGATACAAAACAGATAGTTGTATCCAATTACAAACAGTGAATCAGCTTAAAGGACCACTATAGTGCCAGGAAAACATACTTGAAAACATACTTGAGGGTGCTCCCACCCTCAGGGTCCCCCTTCCACCGGGCTCTGGGGAGAGGAAGGGGTTAAAATCTTACCTTTTTCCAGCGCCGGGCGGGGAGCTTTCCTCCTCCTCTCCTTCTTCCTAGCGACGTCATTGGCCGAATGCGCATGCGCGGCAGGAGCTGCGAGCGCATTCAGCCAGTCTCATAGGAAAGCATTCATTTTCACAGTGAGAAGCACGCAAGCGCCTCTAGCGGCTGTCAATGAGACAGCCACTAGAGGCTTTAGAGGCTGGATTAACCCTCAGTGTAAACATAGCAGTTTCTCTGAAACTGCTATGTTTATAAAAAAAAAAAAAGGGGTTAATCCTATCTGGACCTGGCACCCAGACCACTTCATTAGGCTGAAGTAGTCTGGGTGCCTATAGCGGTCCTTTAATGTCAGGCTAAAAACCTACCATATTATAGGTAGGGAAGCTCTGATAAAGCTGCAGATTTTAGTATAGTATCAGTTTAATACATATTACTCTGAGAAAACTGATAAAGAGATTAACAATGTTATACCCAAAAAAGAGGAGAGTGTTTGGTAGGGTTAAAATGCTTACAGACAGGGTACTTTCTATTAGAATTTATTAAAGATAGACACTGTCCAATACACACATATATAAAAAACATGCACTTTTAAAATGTCCTAATGTGGAGCAAAAATACCAGGTTAACACACTTTAGACCCGAAAATTTTCATATCTCCCTCTCACCGGCCGGATAGGAGGGAGTCCGGATCTCTTTGTGTTGGTAAAACCTGGATGCCTGCCGCGAGCGTTCCCCTGTGGATCTGGATGCGTTCCACTTAGCTGTCTCGTGGGAACTCGTGTAGGATTACGTGTTTCGGGATTGGCTGATCACTTCATCAGAGGTCAGGATTTTCAGGTCTAAAGTGTGTTAACCTGGTATTTTTGCTCCACATTAGGACATTTGAAAAGTGCAAGGTTTTTTTATATATGTGTGTATTGGACAGTGTCTATCTTTAATAAATTCTAATAGAAAGTACCCTGTCTGTAGCACTATATGACTATTGGTCTGTAAGCATTTTAACCCTTTGAGTACCAAACACTCTCCCTCTTTTTGGGTATAACATTGTTAATCTCTGTATCAGTTTTCTCAGAGGAATATGTATTAAACTGATACTATACTAAATTCTGCAGCTTTATCAGAGCTTCCCTACCTATAATATGGTAGTTTTTTAGCCTGACATTAAGCTGATACACTGTTTGTAATTGGATACAACTGTTTTGTATCTAGTTTGATTACCTATTGATACAACAAGCACATTATTTCACTATATATATCGTTTTGGCAGATTATTTAGTTAGCCTATCCTATTCTATTTCCATTGTAGTCCTGAATCTACTATTGATTAAGGTCATTAGTTTTATACATTTATTTTTCAGTGATAGCCTTAGGTGGTGGCTATTTTGTCAGTGAGACGGTGGTTATGGTTGTCTAACATTAGGTCTCTCTATCTAACTTTAGCAGGGTATTCCATCAGTGATATAGGTGTTCTATCCTGTCATTAAGTTGTTTTACAAGTTTCTTACCTGGTTTCTTGACACATTGGTTTTGTTGCTCCTTGCTGAGTTGAACTTTGTTTATTTTCTACGGACAAGTTTTGCAAAAAGGGTAGCAGAGAGTCAGGGCTGAACCCACCCGCAATGCAACCTTTTTGAGCCTGCAAGAATGAAGGCAGTATTGTCTTTGAGTTACTGTTTGGTGGGCCAGTGCATTGTAAGGTGGTGCTAGGTTCCACAGACGGGTGAAAGTCTTGATTCTGCTTATGGAGATCATGCTTTTGACCAAGAAGATGATTTGCTGATGGAATTTGTGATTCCCCTTCTTCATGCTTCTGGACTCTATCTATCCCACTGCCGAAATTGCTGAAAAACTGCAATAAGTGATTTCCGAATGGCATCTGATGCTATAATGAGGAAACACATTAATGTTATTAAAACGTAAAAAACTGTCAATTTTCACATTTCCTTATAAACCATACAATGTTTATATTGGACAAAATCTGCCCTCAATGCTCCTCTAACAAAATATGAAAACAAATAAAAAATTAAAGCAACAATATGAACCAATCAATCCTCTTGCAAAGTTTGTGTGCAGAGAGTAACCTGCTCTCACTTATGGCTGGGAGTGATTTGTAAACGTTGATGCAGCTCTAAGACAGAAGCTCAGCACTGTCAACTAGGGAGCTGGAACGCTTAGTTCTGGTTGCCCGAAATCGATTCCCCCCCCCCCCAATTTATGCAGGGAGAATCCACATGCACAACTGGGGCTGAGTTCACCTCCACCATCTCTGTTGATCACAGAACATATACCAGTCTACTAAGCAGTAAACTGGACTGTGTTCAAACTAGGTGTGGGCAAACAGTAGATTTCCAGATGTTCAATACTTTGTACTTGTGGCAGTTGTAATTCTACATTTGGGAACCTTCCCAGCCCTGGTGTAAACTAAATCTAAGTGATGAGTGGAAATTATATTGGGGATAAAATACTTATCCCAAGAACTACTTCTGTACAGATCTTTATGGGATAAGAATAGACCCCATAGACTAGGATGAGAGGCTCCTGATTGGATAGTATTTTCCTGGTGAGGGTGGCAGCTACTGGAAGTCTGTCTAAACAAGAGGTGCCCAAAAGGTAGATCCCCAGATGTTCTGGATGTAGAACTTCAACTTCCATGCTTTATGTGTCTTTGCATTCCTTTAGAATGACATGGCATCATGGAAGGAAACATCTGGGAATCTACCTTTTGGGCACCCCCTGTTCTAAACGGTTCATCTGCAGTGAATTTGCCCAAGGTGTTTCCCTTTAAAAGCAGAAAAGTTTTTTTTTGTTTTGTTTTTTTATAGATTTTTTATGTTACTCTGATGAGTTATCTCTTCTAAAGTCTCACCTTTTGCTGAGCACGCACCATGCTCATAAGCTGCTCTGCACCAGGAGACATTTTTCCACCCATGCTGTCCATCATACTTTGCACTCTGTCCAAATTAATGGATGGACCTAATGCAGCAGATGCCTGAGAACATTTTTCAGGGACTGACGTAACTTGCACAGAAATCTCACTCAGAAAGAGACGCTGCTTCCCACCAAGAGAAAGTAACTAAACACAAAAAAACAGAGAGTTACTGGTTAGTGGACACAAAAAGCAAAACATTACTAACTACTAGTAAAAAAAAATATACTGTTAATGCCTCTTTAAGGCCTCAGTTTTAATATGGTTACATAAGCTTTTCAAATGATTGTTAGCTAAACTATTAAAATTAATGTGAAAAATATTTTAATTTTGTAATATTGATATGTTTTTACATATATATTTTTGATATGAAAATTTTTTTTTTTTTTTTACATTTAAAAAAAAGTTTATCCCAGGGGGTGGGGCCTATCCATCATGGCGACGAGACGTGTCTCTCCAGGGCTCCCGCTTAACTATGGCAATATAAGCGATTTAAGACGGTACCAGCGAAACAAGCAACGGTGCCACACTCCCATAGGCTCCCTTTCACAGAGGGCACGCAGTGGGAGTGTAAGAGACTCGTGCAAGACATGCTGATACTGCGACCGACAGTGTGGCCTAGCACACAACGGGCGGGAGAGCCGGCCGCTCTCCCGACCTAGAGACGCTCCGACAATACATACAAGATGAGCAAGCCCCATTACCCACCCCTCTGGACCGGTGGGGGGAGATCCCGGTCCACCCAGCAGAGACACAGGCCGCCTCGTGAGCATCACCCAAGATGGTGGAAATTACAAGAGCTGAGAGCCCCACTGATGCTGTACAGAACGTCCTGGCGAGGATCAACAGACACTTTAAAAGGTTCTGGAAGCTGCTGGAACGCAGGCTATATCAACCTGCCCCACCACAAAGCACTGACCTTCCTGAGCAGACACCACGACCAAACCGACGGCCAGCGGCCCAACGCCATGGCACCCGGTCGACGCCACGGGAGACGAAGAAGCCTCACTTACCGCCAGGCCATCCACACACACGGCTCAGGCAAATCATTAAAAACAAGCAATACAGAGGAGATCCTTATGCGGCAACCCAGAGTCCAAAGCAGAAACTCCAGCACAAGCGGCAGCACCTCGGCCCTAACCCACTGGGAGAAAAGACCCTGCTGCAACGCGGAAGATACCCTGTGATGGAACCGAAATGCTATCTCCTAGAAATCGGCATGGCCCAGCGTGCGAAGCCCAGACCCTTTCAGACGATTCAGCATGCACCAGCAAACACCAACCATACTACATCTGTCGCCTGGCGGGCTACTGGCAGCCCTGCATGAACTGTATTCACATGGAAGCTTGCAACCCAGCCGGGGAAAAGGCTGACAGACTGCTTGACTGTACGGGTATGCCAGGCTTACTGCCAGGACAGATCACTCCTCCATTGCCAGTGCTGAATGGCTTAATTACCCAGTTCTCTTTGCCACCAGTTGTCGTTTAAATGTTTTTACTAGCTCAAGCCTGCTATGTCTTTTTCCACCATTTACTCTCACATTCTTCTCATGCTAACTTAGCTTTACATAAAGGCTCCCATGCCATGCATCGCTATAATTAGACTGTATCCCATAAATGCTGATCCAGCGCAGATTCACACTTATGATGAGCCTTAAAACTATACCTAACCTGTGATATTGTAGATCAGACCTGTCGATAGTATATACAAGGCAGATTTCCCATTTATGCACAATTAAGACCAACTGTGTTATTGCATTTAGCGTGGTGTAACATGTTTAAGCTATCTCACCTTAAAGACCTAACACGACAGTAACAGATATTGATGACTCTTGTTATATTAACTCCTTAAAAATGTGCATGTAAGACAGGAAAGCTCACATGATAATTACTATGTCTAGCCACTGTCTACTTTTTCTCTCAACAAAATTTAAAAATTGTGCTGTATATTCGTATGCCATGTTTTGATTGTTATGCCTGTTACCGCTTACGATTGCTAGCGTGGCTGAATAAGCCTATTGTTATACCATGCACAACAGAAAAAAAAAAAAAAATGTTTATAAAAAAAATAATTTGAAAAGTGTATCCAACAATATCAAATAGAGGAGAACATGAATTGGCGACAAAACTAAGAAAAAGCCATTTGTATTAACTCTCACTAATTATTAACACATTAACCAAGAATTCTCCGGTCAAATAAAGCCAAATGGAATTATATAAAATTGATATATCCGAATATACACATTAATAATCATCATTTATACTCCGCTTTTAACAAGTACAATGAGGGCAATTCAGGCAGAAGATAGACACAATGTCCCAAATAAAGGGCAAAAAATATAAATAAAAGTGCACCTAAGTGACATTAAAGGGACACTATAGGCACCCACACCACTTCAGCTCATTGAAGTGGTCTGGGTGCAGTGTCCCTGTTCCCCTTAGTCCAGCAATGTAAAATAAATGCAGTTTTAGAGAAACTGTGATGATGCATTGCACAACTAAGAGTGCCTCTAGTGGCTGTCAATCAGACAGTTACTAGAGATGATTCCAGGATCCTAACAGACTTTTGGTCCCCTGAAGGTGGGCATACTCACGCACTGCATGGGGACATCCAGTGTCAGTGAAATGCCCATAAGAAAGCATGCGCATTAGGCTCCCCTGTCAGATAACATCAGTAGGCAGAGCATCATTCCAGGGGGCTCTGGAAACTATGGTATAAGGAATAAAACTGTATTCCTATAAACAAAGTAGTAAAGTTCTGACTAAACATACCTTGACTTTGCATGATGGCACAGGAAAATCCAACTTAAGGTAGGTGCTGTACAATGTAACAGAGCTTGCTTCCTCATTATTGCTTGGAAATGTACATAAGTGCTCCCCTCTACTTGTTCCCAAGTACTCCTCCTCTTGCCCATCAGGTGACAAGCTGTAGACTTCAATGGTTTTTGCTTGGCTGCAAATATTGAGGCTCAGAATTCTATCTTTTCCTTGAGCAACACAGTATAAGATCAATGAGCATGGACTTCCAATCTCCAAGTTTGGTGCTGGTTCCAAATGCACACAGCATTCCCTTCAAATAAAGCAATGAAGTGAAAGAAGAGTGTGGCAAAATATATGTATTAAATGTGCAAGAATACGTAAAAATCTGTATCAATGTACGTTCTAAGTAAGCTATGTCATGAGCATTATTTTTCCATTTCTAAAAAATAGACCCATATATGTTGATTAAATGAAAACACTTACACATTACAACATAGGTTTCCTGTGTGTGATTAAAGGACCACTATCGTGCCAGGAAAACATACTTGTTTTCCTGGCACTATAGTGCCCTGAGGGTGCCCCCACCTTCAGGGTCCCCCTCCCGCCGGGCTGAAGTGGGAGGAAAGGGGTTAAACTTACCTCTTTCTCCAGCGCCGGGCAAGGAGCTCTCCTCCTCCTCTGCTGAATGCGCATTAAGAGCCGTGCACGCATTCAGCCAGTCTCATAGGAAAGCATTCACAAATCACAGTGAGAAGCACGCAAGCGCCTCTAGCGGCAGTCAATGAGACAGCCACTAGAGGGTGGATTAACCCTAATATAAACATAGCAGTTTCTCTGAAACTGCTATGTTTATAGAAAAAAGGGTTAACCCTAGCTGGACCTGGCACCCAGACCACTTCATTAAGCTGAAGTGGTCTGGGTGCCTATAGTGGTCCTTTAAGGTTTGATTTTACAGAGCAGGAGATAAAAACTTCTAACATCTTATTGAAAGTGAAACCATTCTTTTATTTTTTTTTTTATATATAAAGGCTGGGTCGGTCACAGACAGGGGAGATGTGACAAGGGCTGCATGGATAGAAACAAAAGTGATTTAAATCCTAAATGGCAGAGAATGGAGCAGTGTGACTACAGTGGCAAAATCTAAACACCCAAACTACTTCATAAAAGAAACACTATAGTGTAGGAATACAAACATCTATACCCAACACTATAGTGAGCAACTATTTAGGTCCCCAACCTCCCTAAGACTGCACGGGAAAAGTGATTTGACTCACCTTTTCTACAATGCCGCACCAACTTGCCCATAGAAAAGCATTGGGCTATTGTGAATGAGCAGCTAAATGACGCGCTGCATCAAGCAAAATCTCCTCATAGAGATGAATTGAATCAATGCATCTCTAGGGGCAACGTTCAGCACCTGCAAGCAGGTTGTGGAGACACTGAACGCCAGTGCTGCACAGAAATAGGAAGCACCTCTCGGGGCTGTGTAAGTGACTGTGACTTGAGGTGTTACTTGATAGCAATGTAAACACTGCCTTTATTTCACTACTAAGGCTGTAGGGACATGCTATAGAAACCAGAACCACATCATTGAACTGTAGCAGTTCTAGTGACAATAGTGTCCCTTTAAGCTAAAGTTGTTTTGATACCTGTCATATTATTTTAAGTAAACAATGTAACAACAACAAAAAAAACAGTTCAACAGTTTTAATAACCCTGCATTAGCTCCATGGATTAACACAAACCACCAATTTGTTCTTACCTTGTGATATCTTTTTCCTCCTTTTTCGTATTTTCTGAAAATGAGACATTTAGCACAGAGCTCAGCTCTGCATCACACAGCCAGGCACTGGTGCAAGTCACAAGGCTTTGAGGGCATCCACTAAGGACTGAAGACATGGGCCCTGACATTAGCAGCTACTTTACCAAGTGGTCAAAATATAGGGTGAGAAAAACCACAAGAGTGTTAACGGGCTGTCAGTGTCAATACTGACAGGAATGGGGAGAATATTATTATTCTTATTCTGCCTGGGCTGCTTACAAGAGGATGGAGAATCCTACAGGACATGAGCTGGATGCTGTCATTGCTGAGTGGGAGTTGGTGCTGAGTGGGAGTCAGAGGGCGCTGAGTGGGAGTCAGGGGGCGCTGAGTGGGAGTCAGGGGGCGCTGAGTGGGAGTCAGGTGAGTGGGAGTCAGGGGGCGCTGAGTGGGAGTCAGGTTAGGACTATGGTGGAGATGTCATAGTCAGCACTGGCAAGACAGTGAATTAAAATATACCGAACTCGGTGAATACAATATCACAGCAGTAACCGTAATACAATGACAGGAGGTACTGACGTAAAATAAATATCAGAAACTGCTGTGGGTTTCATTCAGCCCCGTGATAAATAGTAACCTAGGCAGCCGTAAGTGACGGGCTTTGGCCATACAATCACAAACTATCCGGGAGATGACCGCACTGTCGCAAATATTCAGTCTCACCGGCCGGCATCCATGCTCATCACACTCACTTCCGGTCAGGGAAGGTTGCAAACACACTACTTCCGGTTAGTCCCTGCGTCAAAGTGAGAGGCGCAGCCCGTGATGAAGCAGGTTGCCACGGCAACTGTTCATACGCTCAGCATCCGGATACGTGACGTGCGGTCAGATGATTCACCACGTGACCTGGTGCAGTGTGTTATCTTTGCCCAAAGTGGATCAGCTGTGATTTCATTGTGTGGTTTATAATTGTATTTCACTTTCTGTATATACTGTGTATAGAATATATTAATTCACATTATAAAAAGTGAAATAAAATATATGTGATTTTATTTATACAATATTACATTTTATTGCACAGTTTATAGTGCATGTAACTTGCAAGTCACTGCATTGTGTTTTTTTTATTTTTATAATTCTTTATTTATGTCAAGGTTCGACACCACAGCAAGGTATACAACACAATTCAGATGCTTCCAGTAACACGTATACATATAATCGTTAGCTAGGGATCGCAAAGTTGTGTGTTTTCATAAAAAACAGCCTGTAACAATTTAACAATCCGTGTCTCATTAACTCGAAAAGTCCCTAAATAGTGGCGTCGCCCCCGTTTTTAATTTTTATTTTATATATGTGTGCCCCTTTTAACAACTACGCGTGTATAACCTGAATAGCGAGTACAAGCAATTCAAAACACTCCCACATATGCTAACTGATACAGCACATTTTATAAACATAGTACAAAATAGCTTGAGAGTAACAGAGTTATAGCTTGCACACCCTCAGAAGTCTTTAGATTTATACTGCTATCGTGGTCTGTTTCATCCCTCACAGGGACATCCCTGCCTATCCATGGTACATGTCCACATGAAAGCTTCATCCCAGAAACAAGTTAGCACCATGCCCATAGCCTAGGGACCCTGTTCCCCTATACCGCCTCCCCGGAGATAAACAAGATGTTCTGTCACAGGATTCAGATGCCTCCGAGGCGGTACTCTTCATAGTTCGGCACTGTACCCTTCTAGTGAGGGTCCCGGCGGCGAACCACAGTAGAAAGTAAGGACAAGAGTAAAGGAAAGTAAAGAGAAGAGTAAAGAAATAAGTCGGACGGGGCAATAAGGTGACAAGGAGAAGACTGCATTGTGTTTTATATAATATTTAACGGATCATCAACAGCTTCTATTCATCCTCCGCAATATCGGTCTACAAGATATTGCTCTTTCCTGGTGCTCCTCCTACCTCTCCCAGTGCTCTTTCAGTGTTTCTTTTTCTGGCTCTGCCTCTTCTCCCCATCTCCTCTCTGCTGGTGTCCCCCAAGGTTCAGTCCTTGGTCCCCTCCTGTTCTCCATCTATACTGCCTCCCTTGGTAAACTCATTAGCTCCTTTGGCTTCCAATATCATTTCTATGCAGATGATATGCAAATCTACCTGTCCTCTCCTGATCTCTCCCCGTCCCTCTTGACTAGTGTCTCTGACTGCCTCTCTGCTATTTCTAACTGGATGGCTGCCCACTTCCTTAAACTAAACTTGACCAAAACTGAAATTCTGGTCTTTCCTCCCTCAAGCATTGTTACTCCTGTGTCTGTCTCCGTCCAAGTCAACGGTGCTACCATCAGCTCCACCATGCAGGCTCGCTGCCTAGGTGTTCTCTTTGCCCCCGACCTCTCCTTCAAGCCTTTTGTTCAGTCTATCGCCAAATCCTGCTGTTTCCATCCCAAAAACATTGCGCGCATCCAACCCTACTTAACGCCAGATGCGACTAAGGTGCTGGTCCATTCCACTGTCCTTTCTCGCCTTGACTACTGTAATCCGCTTCTCAGTTGTCTTACGTGCTCCCAACTTGCGCCGTTACTGTCCATAATGAATGCGGGGGCGAGGCTCATCTTCCTGTCCGCCCGCACCTCCCTCGCCTCACCCTTCTGTCAGTCCCTGCATTGGCTTTCTGTAAGATATAGGGCTCAATTTAAAATTCTGGTTCTTGCTTTCAAATCTCTACATAATGCTGCTCCCACCTATCTATCCTCCCTAATACACAAGTATGTCCCGTCTAGGCCCTTACGATCTGCTGAAGACTTACGTCTATCTTCTATCCGTACTTCCACCTCTGATGCTCGCCTTCAAGACTTCTAAAGGGCTGCACCATTCCTGTGGAACTCTCTTCCCTCCTCCATTAGATGCTCACCCAGTCTCCACTCCTTCAAAAATATCATTAAAAACCCAATTCTTCATAAAAGCGTATCAATTAAACAGTTAATAACTGATTTGCAACTCTTTTGCAACTGTCATTAGTTTAATACTATCCATACCTTTTATTGTCACTTTACCTCACTCCCTCTAGCATGTAAGCACAATAAGCAGGGCCCTCAACCCCTCTGTTCCTGTGTGTCTAACTTGTCTGGTTACAACTACATGTCTGTTCGTCCACCCATTAGTAATGTCCCGAACGGTTTGCGAACGGTTCACCACGGACTCATCATTGAGTAAACTTTGACCCTGTACCTCACAGTCAGCAGACACATTCCAGCCAATCAGCAGCAGACCCTCCCTCCCAGACTCTCCCACCTCCTGGACAGCTCACTAAGAATGCAGCTTCACAATTAATGTAAAATGGATGCTGTCCAGGAGGTGGGAGGGTCTGGGAGGGAGGGTCTGCTGCTGATTGGCTGGAATGTGTCTGCTGACTGTGAGGTAGAGGGTCAACGTTTACTCAATGATGAGTCCGTGGCGAACTATTCGGCGAACCGTTCGCGAACCGTTCGAGACATCACTATCCACCCATTGTAAAGCGCTGCGGAATTTGATGGCGCTATATAAATAACATAATAATAATAATATTCTGCTCAATTTATTGCACAATTTATAGCGCCTATAACTATTTATGAAATATTCTACCAGGAAGGATACATTGAGATTTCGCTCATTTTCAAGTACCGTATATACTCAAGTAAAAGCCGAGTTTTTCAGCACATTTTTGTGCTGAAAAAGCCCCCCTTGGCTTATACTCGAGTCACTGTCTGTATTATGGCAACTTACATTGCCATAATACAGACCAGGACCGCCTGGCTCATTACAAGCCCAGCGGTCCTGTTGGGGGCCGGCAGCAAGCGTTTACTTACCTTTGCAGCAGCTACGTTCACCTCCGTTCCGTTCAGCTCCCAGTGTAAAACTTGCAAAACCGTGGCAGTCAGAGCTTTGCCACAGGTTACCGTGGCAACGCTCCGCGCGGGACGCAAACCGTGAGATTTACACTGGGAGCTGAATGGAACGGAGGTGAACAGAGCTGCTGCAAAGGTAAGTAAACTCTTGCTGCCGGCTCCCCCACTGCACAGCCCATGCCACTGGATCACCAGGGAATCATATATTATTATTATTATTATTATTGCCATTTATATAGCGCCAATAGATTCCGTAGCGCTTTACAATATTTTGAGAGGGGGGGTGTAACAATAAATAGGACAATTACAAGAAAACTTACAGGATGAAGAGGACCCTGCTCAAACAAGCTTACAGACTATTGGAGGTGGGGAAGCCCCTCTCCCTGGCCAGGTAACAAGCAGGGAGGGGGGACAAAAAAAAAGTTACAAAAATAAATACTAAAATAATCAAAATAATAATATTAATTTAAAAAATTTAAATAATTATATTAAAATAAATTTTTTTTAAATTACAATAATAAAAATGCCCTCCTCTCACCCAGTTTACACATACTACACAAACACACACACACTCTGCATCATATACACACACATTGCATTCACACAAACACACATTCTGCATACATTATATACACACACACTACACACAAACACACACACTGCATTCATTATATACACACACTACACAAACACAGACACACTGCATTAATTATATACACACTACACAAACACACACACCCTCTGCATTCATTATATACCCACACTGTAAATAAATATTCAATTAATGTAATTTTATTGGGATCTAATTTTATTTAGAAATTTACCGGTAGCTGCTGGATTTCCCACTCTAGGCTTATACTCGAGTCAATACGTTTTCCCATTTTTTTGTGGCAAAATTAGCGGCCTCGGTTTATATTCTGGTCGGTTTATACTCGAGTATATATGGTATGTCCTGAGTCCACAAAACATTGCATTGTTACAATAGGATACAATATTACACAAAGAAAAATACAATATATCTACACACACACATATATACATTTAACACATAACAGGTGTGACGAAATGCCTTTTGTCTCTGGATTGTTAGGTGACAAGCTGCCCTTTGCCCCCGGCTTTTGGAGGAGCCTGATTACCAGCCTCCTTCCTCATGACTATGGCCCTGGGGTGTATTGCCATTTAAAAAGACTATTTGGGGCTTATTGGCTTCTAAAGACAGTTTCTTCCCATTTGAATCCATGGGAAGGTGTGTTTCTTCCCCTCCCCGGTTTCCTGTCTATTGTTCTCCAGCAGGGCGTTGTCCCAGGCACACTGCCAAACCAGTTGGAACTGACTGTTTTTGTCCCTCCTTGGTTTCTCAACAGCCCTTGCTATGCTTTACCCCATGGAAAATCTACTCTGTTCATGGGATCTGAGCGCTGTTCACCTAGATTGGGCGCTCAGATCCGAGCTATCTGGGGATAGGTTAAATGTGGGGGTTCTGTGTAATAAAATAAGAATTATGTATTTTTATGTACTTTTACGTATTTTGCTGTTAGTGTTAAATGTAGATATTTTCTGTACCTGGAGATAATTGAGTTTACTGCAGTGCCTTAAGCCAATTATCTCCAGGATGGAGAGGAGGGATTTCATTGTGTATGTGAGAGTGTTATCATGTTAATTAGTGTTCCCATTGGTTTGTGTCCCTTTTGTCACAGTTTACCACCAGGTCCAGGGGGTGTGCCTCGGACCTGAAAACTTGTATATAAAGGAGTAATAAACGCTCATTGGAGTCAGATCATCTTGTACCTTCATGAAGTTTCGGCTCATGTTTGGGGGATTGGAGAAACTACACTCTGGGGATTGCTATAATCACTATACTCCCCAGGGTATAATCACTAAGCTCTGCTAAGAGCTTGTTCCTGCTCTCTGGAATTCGGAGAGAGGTCGACCTGCTGGAAGCTGGACCCTGGTCCTGGGTCCAGAGTGGGTGGAGACGGCGAGATCCCAACCAAGCTGCAGCGGTTCGTGGGGTCTGCAGTGATAATGGTGTCAGGCAGAGTGCTTGAAGTCCTCAGAAAGCACTAGGAGCATCCGTCGGCGGAAGGTACCCGGTCGGGGTGCCAGCGGTTCCGTTACAACAGGTAATAAATATAGGCAACCATGAAAAGTGCATCTGCACTGAGGTATGTTGCCAATCTCTGAAAAGATTTTAGCATTTTACGGTATTGCGTTTTGTTTAATATTTTATTACATGGTTTAATTTATTGCACAGTTTATAATACATGTACAATTGGTCTTTCTATTACACATTGATGGAAACTATGATCCAGCTATATCTACTAAGGTAACTCTAATCCAAAACAGTGTTTTACTACAACACTTTTTTTTGGTTGTAGGAACCCTCCAACAAAAGGCGATGCGCATATACCGCAACCTAGTAGGGCACCCTTGTTTTGTCACATTCCATATTTTGAATGGGCAGTTTGGCCCCCAGTAATACTGGCATTTGAGTATACTGTGTCTATTCAGGTCAGAGAATGAGGGCCAAAGCCAAAATTTTGAGGGTAAGCTTCAAGGCCCAGTTAATTCTGCCACATAGTTTTAGTTGACAGCCAAAGGATTGAGACTCACTCGCGTCTTACTATGTGTATGCAGTTTAAAACTGAATAGTGAGATGGCACCAAGGGAATCCTGGAACCATAAACACTTCATTTACATGAGGTGGTTGTGGTACCTTGTGTGTTACTTTAATACCATATGTAACGGATCACCTGGAAACCCGATTGGGACCTCCGTTGATGGATGCTCCTAGCGCTTACCAAGGACCATCAGCATGGCACTGAGCACTCCACTTGACACCTCCAGGCACTGGACGACACTCAGTCCTGGGAACTCTGGAACCGAATGGGGAATTAGCTCTAGTCCTTACAAGGACTTTACCAGTTGAATCTCCTGCAAGCTGGAATAGCAGACACAGGATCAAATCTTCTTTCTCTCCAATAACAGGACGACACACAGTTTTGGAGTGTAAGCAGGAACAGAATGCACTGAGGCTTTATTGCTTCTTTTATACACATTTCCCCACAAGGTTACCACCCACGTGGACCTTGTGGTACACAGGGCACAAAGTTACAACAGCCAATCAATACAGTACAGTACGGTCAGACACTCCCAGCCAAGGCACACAAATCCTCCCCTCTGCCTGTGATATAATTACTAAACACAATGGGCTAACTTAATTACCACGGGCAGAAAATATACAGTTTTTAAACAATTCTATAACTCCAAAATTATACATCACATTCGCAACCAGCATAATTAGAGAAACAACATACTAAAAAATCATGCAAATCCGTTCAGCCGCTTGGGAGTTAGCTGGAAGTCACATTTGACTGACCGACCGACCGACTGCACGCACATTTTCATGCCCAAAACAGTTCCAGAGAATTGGGCTATGCGTCCGGTCTATTTCCCATATTAAATGCAGTTCAAATAGACGAACGGCAACCGTTCGTGCAAATGTCAATGTTAATGTTGCGTTCGTATAGTCGAATGCCGTTCAACTACTGTCGAATCGTCAAAGTCACATAGAAAGTAAAGTTCGGCGGTGTTCGTGCCGTCAAGTGTCCGATTTGAGTTTCATGAACTCGACGACCAAACACCGCTGAACGGCGTTCGACTAAACAAAATGGCTGCATCCGAAGTGGCATTTGAAATGTAAAAATACTTTCTCATAGTAGTTAAAGGGGCAGAAGCAGTGTAATAAAATCCAATATGCCCAAATAACGCTGTTAAAAGTCAATACATCCAGGGGCCATAGTCACAGGGCAAGAGACGGGCAAGCAGGCCCCTTCAAAAACTCATGGCAAACTCCCTTAAAAAGGGATTTTGTCACACCGTATATACTACCTTACAAGTTGCACTACGCATAGCCTTTGGTTTTAGTCCAGGTTATTAAAGATTTTGGACTCAAGGAGGCAGCATCTGAAAAATGAAAGGCATATTCCATGCATCAAAACAATTTATTCTCATTGCATTGGTGCAAGAAGGTCCCGTGGTCCTCTCTCCTTTCAAACTGTTATTTATAACTTCTGTGATTTGAGAAAATAAAACTGTTAATTCACTAATACATAATAATACTTTGTATTATGTAGGATCAACAAGGGAATTATTTAGGTCCTATTAGCTCTAATGCACATCTTTCTGTAGTATGACGTAAAACAGTAATTGCAAGTCTGGACATACTGTTTAATAGACTTTTCTTTGAATAACAAAAAAATAAAAAAATAGACACAACAAGGCTACAGTGCTTTTTTTTACCAAACAGAATTTAAGATTACAGAATTTTGTGTAACATCCTGGCGAGTACATGTACAGTACTAGTATGCTGTCATGCTGATGTCACAGTGCATACTCAATAAACATGCTGCTCTGGCTTTTCTGCACATGTTGATCTGGAAATGCCGCCTTCTGATTCTCTTTTTCCTTCCCAATCAGAACTTGCATTCAGGAGGCAAATCCTTTCAGGGTTGCTGATAGAGAAAGGGACGCTGCATGCCTGTGATGCCTGTCTACTTAGAATGATATGACCATGGCCGGTGCAAGAATTTTTGCTGCCCTAGGCAAAAGAAAAATTTGCGCCCCCTCATGTGACTTCACAATGCCCCACCCATATGATCTGCCATGTGAACTAACGCCAGTGCTGCACACAGTGTGTGTTTACATTAAAAAGCCTGCAGAGACAGGCCATAGACACCAGGACCACTACATTAAGCTGCAGTGGTTCTGGGGACTATAGTGTCCCTTTAATGTGAGGTAAATTAGAGATTAGTGCCACAAATAATATACTAGATTGCCTACTTACAACCAGATGAGGATGGTGATTGGCTCTGGCTGCAGTCTGGCTCCACTGGTCTGGTGTAGAACAGGCTCTCTGGCGTAACTGTGGTCACAAAAATCAATGTTCTGGGGGAATGTGAAGCAGCTCCATTTTTTTGGGCCCCTTGCACAGCTCAAGGTCTGGGCCCCCAGGGCCTGACGGTGAGTATGCCCATAAGGCCCACCCATAAGTCCACCTACAAGTTCCACCTATGAGTTCGCTCACAGGTAGTGTAGTGTGTAGGGGATGTATTACGTCTTAGTGTAGAGCAGGGTTTCCCAATTAATTTTTCCTGTGGAACCCTTTTTTTTTTTCCTGTGTATCAACATCGTGGAACCCTTCCCTCCTCCCCCCGAAATTTTTTTTTCAATTGTGCCGTTTTTTGTTGTTTTTTTATGTGTGTATCTGTGTGCCACTATCTGCCAGTGTGTATCTGTGTGTCAGATTCATACACACTGGCACATACAAACACAAATACACACACCTTGACACACAGTGTGTATATTTGTGCTTGTATGTGCCAGTTGCATATCTGACACACAGATACACACACAGTGTGTGTGTGTGTGTGTATCTCTATGTCAAGGTGTGTGCATGTGTTTGTATGTGCTAGTGTGTATGAATCTAACACACAGATACACACACTGGCAGATAGTGGCACACACACACACACTGACAGATACACACACCTTGACACACAGTGTGTATGTGTGTGTGTGTGTGTGTGTATATATGTATGTATCTATCTGTGTTTCAAGGTGTGCGTACTTGTGTTTGTATGTGCCAGTGTGTATGAATCTGACACACAGATACACACTGGCAGATAGTGGCACACAGATATACACACTGACACAGATACACACACCTTAACACACAGTGTGTATCTGTGTGTGTGTGTATGTATGTGTCTGTGTATCAAGGTGTGTGTATCTGTGTTTGTACGTGCCAGTGTGTATGAATCTGACACACAGATACACACACTGGCAGATAGTGGCACACAGATACGCACACCTTAACACACTGTGTGTATCTGTGTGTCAAGGTGTATGTATCTGTGTTTGGATCTGCCAGTGTGTATGAATCTGACACACATATACACACACTGGCAGATAGTGGAACACAGATACACACCTTAACACACTGTGTGTATCTGTGTTTGCATGTGCCGGTGTGTGTCAAGGTGTGTATATCTGTGTTTGTATGCGCCAGTGTGTATCTCTGTGTGAGTGTGTGTATGTATCTGACACACAGATATACACACACACTGGACCCACAGATACACACTGACACAATCAGATACACACACACACACACAAAGCTTTGTTACAATGCAGCCACCCATCCCATGTGTTCCCTATTAAGGGTTAATAAGTATATAGGGGTGTATATAAAAAATACCCCTCTCTGTCTCAGTGGAGATATCTTTGCCAGAAGCTCAAGGAAGCAAGGTGAAGGGTCAGTGTAGGACTCGCTTAGGAAGGGTCTGCCTTGACATTGGCAGGCGGGCATTCCCTCCAATGGCCATTGGAGTAACTAAATGACCTCCATTTGCCTAAATATACATAGGGATTAAGGAGAGAGCGCAGGTAACTTTTTTTTTTCTTTGGTTTATAACTATATATTGGGGCTGATGTGTACTGTGGTCATTGCTGCCACCCAGGAGTGATGGGAGTGAGCACAGAACTTATCTTTTTGTATGTTGTAAAGATTACATGATGATGTGTGACTCCCTCACCACTGTTTACACATTACTAAGAATCCGATGTATACAGTGAATAAGGTGGCCACAGGAGGTGCTTCCTGTTCCAGTCAGTGCGGTCAGTGTCTACACGTGCCGCATGGAGGTGCTAAACGTTCCCCGGAGAGATGCATTATTTCAGTGCAGCTCTGTAAGGAGATGCTGATTTATGCAGCGCAGCATTTTGCAGTGCATGCACAATAGTCTCCCAATGTTTTTCTAAACGGCAATCATTGAATTGGCTAAGATTGGTGCAGCGTTGGAAAACAGGTAAGTAAAATGACAATTTTTACTGTAAGGACAAGGCGCCTTAATAGTTATATTACCAATATAGTTTCCGGAATACATGTTTGTGTTCCGGACACTATAGTGTTCCGTTTCTAAAATAATATGTAAAACACTGTGTCTTACAGTATTACGGAAAGTTATATGAATGATATTGGAAAAAATATAAATAGAAAACTACACGGGGTGGAGTCTAGCTGCACACTAGCACACATGCCTTTCTTTGCCTCAAGTTATTGGCCAACTGAGCCTTGGGAAATGGGGTGAAAATCGCAGAAAGCACAATTTGTTCCTTCAAATGAGACCCAAGATATCGGTCTGATGTTTCAAGACATACCTTGTCGAATGACAGTGCTCCCATGGAACTCTGAGACCTGCGAATCACTAGCGGAGGGTGATGCTATGAAGTCCATACAAGGAAGACCCTACTTTACCAAAACCTGTAGAGGAGGTATCAACAGCACTACAGGATTATAACCTGGCCACAGGATGGGACATTAACTGACCATATACATAAATTATTTGCAGCTGACTTGGCAGTTGTGAAAACTTCAAGACCAGTTCACAGAGGTAGCAAAGTGGATCAAGGATAACAAACTTTCCCTAAACGCTGAGAAAACTGCCCCAATGATTTTTGGAACAGTACCTAAATTACAAAATTGCTAACTATGTATCAAATCAATTTCAAATAGCACACGGACACAGTTTGTTCTTTCAAATATCTAGGTATGTGAATCCCAATCTATTGGCCTTCACATTATCCAAAGCTAGGTGCCCTGTACAGAAACAAATCCTGCCTAAGCCCTACAGTAAGGAAACAGAGCAACGAATGCTAATGCAGGTAATTGATTATGGTGATGTACTGTATGTATCTGCGCCTCAAACCCATTTTCATAAACTTGCTATGTTGTATAACTCGTTCTGCAACTTTGTGCTACAATGAAATTACATTACCCATCATTGTGACGTGTTCAAAGAGTTAAACTGGCTATCGCTGGATTCCAGACGCACCCTTCATCTTTCCTGCCTTATGTCCATGAGGTTTTCTGAGAAGCTCCCTCCCTACCTGAGTTGAACGCTCTCCCCAGCTGTTCCAACCTCCTATAACCTTCGAGCCAGTATCACATAGAGATTGAGATATATATATATATACACACACAATACAAAAAGAAAAAGAGACTTGTCAAAACTATTTTTAAATGATAAAAAAGGATGTTATTCATGTAATAAGTGTGCAGGATGTAAATATAGTCAAAATAAAACCTTGAAACGAGTTAATAAGTGTAAAACAAAATCTAACAAAGAATTTTAGTTTAAGGATTTTATTACGTGTTTTACTAAAAATTTAATTTATCTTTTAATTTGTCAGTGTGTTGTAGAGTATGTAAGTCGCACTATTCATCTTTTACACAAAAGAATAAATGAACATGTAAATAATATTTTGAAAGGATTTGAGCAACATCGTGCCTCTGTGCATTTAAAAAAAAAGTCATAATATCGAATCCAGAGGTTTGATCTTTCTCGTGATCCAAATATTTATTAAATCCTGGTGAGGTAGCAACCATATTTTGAGGGTTTTTTTCCTTTCACTTAGCAAAAGAGTTTTAATCTTTGCATTTTTTTTATATTCTTCTGTTTTGATATTAAATGTTCAAGTATGGACATTGTCTTTTTCATTTTTTTTTAAAAGGAAAGTTTTAGTTTTTTTTACGTTTTCTTATATTTATGGTCTTTTTATATTTATGTACCATTTCATTTTCCTTATTGCTTTTAATGAGTTTGAACTGATTAGAATTAAGGCCACTCCACTGTCCTGAACAGGCCTGCTCATTGTCACACACATTCTCACTGACAAACGTATGGTCACCAGAGACAAGCTTACTGACACACACACACATGCTCACTATCACACACATGTTCTCTACATGAAATCTTACTGTCACATATATGCTCTCTACAGACAAGCTCACTGTCACACAAATGCTTACTACAGACAAGCTAACTGTCACACACATGCTTACTGCAGACAAGCTCACTGTCACACAAATGCTTACTACAGACAAGCTAACTGTCACACACATGCTTACTGCAGACACGCTCACTGTCACACACATGCTCACCACAGACAAGCTCACTGACACACATATGCTCGCTACAGACAAGTTCACTGATGCACACACACTCACTACAGACAAGCCCATTGGCACACACATACTCCCTACAGAAGAGCTCACTGACACACACATGCTCACTAGAGACAAGCTCACTGATACACACATGCTTACTACAGACAAGCTTGCTGATACTAGACACAAGCACACTGACACACACATGCTCCCTACACACAGACACACTGACACACAAGCACACTGACACACACATACACACACACATACTCACTACAGACAAGCTCACTAAAACACACACATGCTCCCTACAGACAAGCTCACTGCCACACACCCATAGAAGCTCATTCACTAGCAGACACACAAAAGCTCACTCACTAGCAGGTACACACACATATACAAGCTGAAACACTAGCAGACACACACACACAAGCTCACTCACTAGCAGGCATGCACACACACACACACACAAGCTCACTCACTAGCAGGCACACACATAAACAAGCTCATCCACTAGCAGGCGCACACACACACACAAGCTCACTCACTAGCAGACACACACACAAGCTCACTCACTAGCAGGCACACACAAAAGCTCACTCACTAGCAGACACACACACAAGCTCACTCACTAGCAGGCACACACAAAAGCTCACTCACTAGTAGACACTAGTCTACTAAAAGGGATTTAGGGGTGATTATTTCTGATGACTTAAAGGTAGGCAGACAATGTAATAGAGCAGCAGGAAATGCTAGCAGAATGCTTGGTTGTATAGGGACAGGTATTAGCAGTAGAAAGAGGGAAGTGCTCATGCCATTGTACAGAACACTGGTGAGACCTCACTTGGAGTATTGTACACAGTACTGGAGACCGTATCTTCAGAAGGATATTGATACCTTAGAGAGGGTTCAGAGAAGGGCTACTAAACTGGTTCATGGATTGCGGGATAAAACTTACCAGGAAAGGTTAAAGGATCTTAACATGTATAGCTTGGAGGAAAGACGAGACAGGGGGGATATGATAGAAACATTTAAATATATAAAGGGAATCAACACAGTAAAGGAGGAGACTATATTTAAAAGAAGAAAAACTACCACAACAAGAGGACATAGTCTTAAATTAGAGGGACAAAGGTTTAAAAATAATATCAGGAAGTATTACTTTACTGAGAGGGTAGTGGATGCATGGAATAGCCTTCCAGCTGAAGTGGTAGAGGTTAACACAGTAAAGGAGTTTAAGCATGCGTGGGATAGGCATAAGGCTATCCTAACTAAAAGATAAGACTAGGGACTAATGAAAGTATTTAGAAAATTGGGCAGACTCGATGGGCCGAATGGTTCTTATCTGCCATCACATTCTATGTTTCTATGACACACATACACACACACACACGCTCACTCACTAGCAGACACACACACACACAAGCTCACTAGCAGACACACACTCACTAGCAGTCACACACACAAGCTCACTCACTAGCAGACACACACTCACTAGCAGACACACACACACAAGCTCACTCACTAGCAGGCACACACACACAAGCTCGCTCACTAGCTGGCACACACACACAAGCTCGCTCACTAGCTGGCACACACATACACAAGCTCACTCACTAGCAGGCACATACATACACAAGCTCACTCACTAGCAGGCACACACACACACGATAACTGTCATGGCTAAAGCTTACCTTGCACTGGTAGGTGAATTTGTCATTCTCTGGCCTCTTCTTTCCAACAAGGTCAGCAGCTGGGAGGGGGAGGGGGGTATAACTAAGTTAATTTATAAAAGTGTCAATTTCTTTTTTGCATAATGAAAAAAAGAGGACACACTTCATGCATAAAGCTTTTCCGCAAGCTAAAGTGCTTTGAGGTCTGGAGTGGGCCTTTAAGTCCAAATCAGATGTAAGTTGCAGCTGTTGTGGATAACCGTTCCAACAATGCCCATCCAGCCATATGGCTGTGCATGATGGGATATGAAGTGATGATTAACTGTTGTGACATACTGTGACACTTCTCACTCTTACTGTTCAGCCAGCAAATATGTGTAGAAGGCACATTATTACAAATGCACGTAAATTTGGTTTACAGGCAACCCAGCGCATAGAGATAACATAAGTGCAGAACGAAACAAGAAAATATAAAGACTCTATTTGTTAATACAACATGTTCTGTTTTTCTGCTGCCCTGCTCTGTCATCCTGGCAATATGATGCACAATGCTGAGAGAATGTAGATACCGCCTACTCTATGGAATACTATGGCATTGGTCAGGTAGACAAAGTCTAGGATCCAAGCCCAATTTCTTTCACCCTGGATTTGCCAAGCCTTGATTTTGACCCCAATAATCTATTGCAGTAAAAAAAAAAAAAAGAAATTCATATATATTTTTTTAATACCGTTTAAGAACAGTTTGACAACTTACCTGGGGTCTGCTGGGATATGGAGCTATAGTAGGGCATAGGAGTAGTGGTGTGTGTGAGTGGTGCAATGTGTGAGGGGTGCAGTGTGTGTGGGGGGGTGTAGTGTATGAATGTGTAGGGGGTGTGGGGCAATGTGTGTATGGGGTGCTGTGTGTGTGTATGGGTGGGCAGTGTAGGTATGTGTGGGGCAATGTGTGTATGGGGGGCAGTGTGTGAATGTATATGTGTGGGGCAATGTGTGTATGGAGGGGAGTGTGTGAATGTGTATAATGTGTGTGGGGCAGTGTGTGTATGGAGGGGAGTGTATGTGTGTGGGGGCAATGTGTGTGTGTATGGGGGGCAGTGTGTGAATGTGTATGGTGTGTGTGGGGGCAGTGTGTATATTGGGGCAGTGTATGTATGGAGGGTGTATGTGTGTGTGGTGGCAGTGTGTATGGGGCAGTGTATGTGTGTGTGGGGGACAGTGTGTGTGTGGGGGAAGTGTGTGTATGGGGGCAGTGTATGTGTTTTGTGGGGCAGTGTGTGTGGGGGGGCAGTGTATGGGGGCAATATGCACGTGTGTGGGGGGGCAGTGCGTGTGTGTGTGGGGCATTGTGTGTAGAAGGGCAGTGTGTGAATGTGTGGTAAGGAGAGTACGGGGGGGTTTATAAAAAATAATAAAAATAAATAAATGTATGTCCCCCCTCCCTTTACTGAGGAAGGAGTGGGGATATTTCTCGATCCCTGGTGGTCCGTGTGGAATCCCTGGTGGTCGCTGTGGTGAGAGTGAACTCTAGCCCATAGCTCCAGGACTAGAGTTCACTCTCGCGAGATCCGGAGTGTTGCCGTGGTAACCGCGGCAACACTCTGTGCTCACGAGAGAAGGACCCGGAGGAGCTGCAGGCTGAGCTCCCGGGTCCTGTCTCTCTCTCTCCCTTGCCGGCTGCCCGCACAGTGCATGCGAACCGGGGACGGAGATTTCTGATCTCCCCTCCGGTCCGTGAAGGCACATTGCAGTGCTGGTCCTTTGACAGTGCCAGCCCTGCATTAGATGGCAGGGGAGAGCTTTGGGGTGGGGAGGGGGGCAATTGTCCCCGTTGTCCCCGCCCCCTGGATCCGCCAGTGGCTCATTATTCCATTTTAAACTTGAATTCCTTGGAGTTTATTTTTGCTCTATACAACAGCTTTAAAATATGACTGAGGGAGAGATGCAATATATATATATATATATATATATATATATATATATATATATATATATAGTCCTATTATCCTGAGTGGCTTTACAGGCGGGTTTTATGAGAGTTCTAATTAGC